AACATCCATCTTGTATTCTGTAATATGTTATTCTAAGCTTGGAGATAGCACTAACATTGAAGATTATGTTTTATTCATAAGGCCGAGTAATGTACGTCAAGCGAGATGTTGTTTTTGCGAATTCTACAAGTGTTTAAATCACGGAGGACGAAATTGAATTTCTCTGACTGCGTACAAGCTTAACAAATATTAAATTATATTTATAAACTCCCCGTTTGTATAAATATTTAAAAGTAGCGTAAATATATACTTCTATACTAATATATAAAGCTGAAGAGTTTGTGTGTATGTTTGAACGTGCTAATCTCAAGAACTACTGGTCATATCAATTTAAAAAAAATGTGTTAGAGCATTTATCGAGAAAGGCTCAAACACACGCTGTGACTAATGGGAGAAATGAAACAGCGGGAAATGTGGAAAAAACGGGGAAAATTATTATTGTTGTAAATTACCGATGCGTAAACGTGCGAAAACGGTTCAAGATACCCAATATATATATAGGAAAGAATGATTCCTCTTTAAATGATATAAATAAAGTTCGCAACAGTATATATCTATATTTTAAGGTTAACTTGCTAGAACGACGGGAAGCTACCGACTCGACGTCGCGGGTAACAGCTTAAATATATATATATATATATATTATATAGCTTACTAATATTTATTTACACAGCTACTTAGATGGGTTTATTTGAAATTGTAAAAAATGCTTTTAAATTCCTTATTTTGTACGGCTTAGCTTATTCGTGTACAAATGCGGATTTATAAACGAGCGAGAATTAAAAATATAAATAACTCAAGTGCGTGATGACATGAATAATTGTAACCACGGTTATGGTTTAAACTCTACTCCATTTCCATGTCATTATCGGGGTTTATTCCACTTATGACTGACAAGCAAAGATCTTAAAACCCACGGAGAAAACATATCGCTCGTTCAACATTAGTAAACGTATTTATAAGTATATGTAGCATTTGACCACATTTCTGTATCCGTTTCAAAATCGATTATTATTAACGTGCATTTGATGAGATTTTTGAGCCCCATCGAGGGCTTGAGATCCAAGCTTGATGCTCTATAAAAATATCTACGTACAGTGCTAATTTTTGCTAAGAATTTCAGTATAATACTTTGTATGCTCGCGACTTCGTCCGCGTGGAATAGTTATTTTATACGACGTCGGTCGCGTCCCGTCGTTCCTGTTTTGGTATATATTAAAAGATAGATATATAGTGTCGTGGATTCTTTTTTAGATTATTCAAAGATGATTCTTTCATACATATTATTTAAGTATTTTTAACCGTTTTTGCAGTTTTATAACCTTCCACGATAAATGATCTTACCAACGCAAAAAGATTTTTTGATTTCCACCCGTATTTCCTGTGATTATCATTAAGTATATAAGTAAGGTAGAGGATATTTAAATATTATAATGCTTTCACAAGAATTAAATATTATATTTTGTAAATAAGTAGTTAATTTCTATCAAACGACACTAGTTTTTAATGCCTGTTAGTCAGTGATTTGAGGTACATTTTTACACTTGTTACTAAGCTAAATCTTGTTCAATAAGACAATTCAGACTTCGTTCCTTTATGTGCGAAAATTATTAAATGTGCTAACAGTTTTATTAACGAATTATTAATAACTAGCTGTGTCAGCGACTTCGTCCGCGTAGAATAGTAATTTTGGGAATACAATTTTGTTAATGCAAACCTCCTCTTAAACTTTTGTAAATGTAAGATATTTTATAGCCTTGACTAATGCTCTAACAAAAGACTTGTTTAATTCGAAACAGTAGTTCCTGGGATTAGCGCATTCAAACAAACAAACAAACAATTTCTTCAGCTTTATATATTAGTATAGATGGGACACTCATAGAAATCTGTGTGTTTGACTGAAACCCGTAGTTTCAGAGGGAGACACCGTAGCGTTTAAGTAGATCCAAGTGGAACAGACCACCGAGTGTGAGTGCAGGCCAGTGTTGAATAGACAGCTTATTAATAGGATATTGCGGTCAAAAGTTAATCGGGTTTAAGTCGCTCGCATCGCCCACGAAGATCCATCACAATCGTCATTATTCACACACAAATTATGTAATTTCAATAAATGGAACTTATTGAATAGTGATGAGCGGCAGTAAGCTCCGGAGACCCCTGCGGTGACCCTCGCACAACGGAACACCGTCCGTACGTTTTAACTCATCAAGATTTAACATCTTTAAGTACATTACTTTTTTCTCTAACGCATCGCTTATCAAAACCTTATTTAGCGCGCAATGTATGAGTCTTAAAAGGTTACATTGATTCGTGGATATCTACAATCGTTGTCTAAAATAAATGTATTTTGTTTGAATAAATCACTCGTTGGAGGTCGTAAGAAGTGTTAATGAAAGTCTGTTTACTGATTTTATTTTTATGGAACTTTTATTGTTATTATTGTAATGTATGAATAATGAATATTATGGAAATAATTTAACAAGTAAATAGCTCTCTGTATTTTACGTGAATAGTACACTTTTAAATAAAACCCTTTAACGTCGTCTCCCTGTGACCACGGCTGCTGCAAAGCATCCAAAACGTCGGGCCGAAGTTAAAAATCATTTTCAAATAAGTTTAACTAATATATCGCGTTTTAAACCGTTAAAGTGTTTTATTGAAATGTGAACTACGTATATATATGTAAGAGGTTTCTACGTACGTCTTTTGGTACCTTTTTTTACTGTGTGAACTTTAAAAACTTTTACTTGAATAAAGCATCAGCTTCGTGAATTATTAATTATACGTTGTAGCCTTATTCTTAAGCCATAAGAAAGTAACATAAAATAATATATCACACAAACTAACAAACACATTCTTTTAGGATTCTCGTAACGAAAAAGGACAATTTAAACTTAGTTGTTCAAAATGGAACTTATAAGTATTAGAAGATAGTGCTTCATTATGACAGAACAGGAAAGACATAGTGTTCACTAATTGATGGAAGGTGAATTACTATATAACTTCGAAATAAGATATATCTACCTTCCTATATATTGTACAGATTCGCGTGTGTTGCTCGTTGGTGTTATAGTAGCATATGGCTAATCAACGGGTCGTGGATACGATTCTCACCGGATCCAATATTTTTCTGATCAATTAAGACGTCGTCTGCAAAACAATATATATTAAATAGGATAGGAATATCGAAATTCCGTCCGGATAACAGCCCACGGTCCTCAGATGAAAAAACCGTCAAGATTAATCGTGTATCGGTTTCAGTTTGTGGATTTCCGAATTTCCGGGTTTCCAAAATCAAAATAGATCGACAGCGCATCTAGTTTAGATGTTATATGGCTGGGGTTACCTACGTACCGTTTCTTTATCATTATCAAATGTGTTTTTGGTTCATTAAGTTGCATATGATTACTTAATAAGAACACTATAATTGTCAAGAAATTCCGATAGATCCCGCATCGATCAACTTTGGTGAATGATACATCAAGCGCCCGAGTGCTTGGCTTTATCAAAACAATACAAAACGGGGTTGTTACTGATAAGGATCGAGATCGCGGGACTCCGAAACCATTTTTTGTCGGTTGACATCGCGCTAATAATACTCATGAGAAAAATGCGCCGGACCCGCTCGTTGTTTTGTTTTTAATTTCTACCTCAGTGGCACGGATTTAATTGGGCCCAACTTGGCTCGCTTCATTTGAATATTTAAAGCATTTCGGGCTCTCGTGTTATTCTCTTTGGGAATGCTATATCACCGCTGGGATTGGAATGAAAATATTATTGGGAATAGCTTTGGTTATGGACAACGATCATTATATAGTTTGGAGGCTATTATTTATATGGTTATTAGGCCAAATTTTCTATGAAATGTATCTTAGTGGTTTACCTGAATTTTCAGCTTACAGTAATCCTATTCAGAACAATAGCTCAAAGGTTACGCTTATGAAACTTTCCACGATGTCTTCCATGTACGACAGCTGCATACTGCTGTGGAAACTCAATAGAATTTACTTTACTGAGCTTTAAATATATCTAGATATAGAATAAACATTTCTGTAATACTTATTCTATATCTAGATATATTCCAAAATGTTCTAAAATTATTGGAAACTAGAACTATCTATATATTTCTATTAGTCTAATGTATTTACATCAATTTTCATAACTTTTATGAAAATTTATATGAATACATGACATTACCCCAGTAATGTCATGTATTCATGTAAATTTTTCTTACTGTTTGACGTTGCATCTGGTATATGTTACATTTTTAATGGTTCATAATTAAGTTTATGTGGTAAATTCTTTAAAACCCCATTAGAAAATGCTTAGTTACAGATGGCTCGAAGGCTGTACCATAAATAAACTCGGACACAGAAATCGTTGAATTTTATTTCTTGTCGTCGTTCAGCCGTGCCTTACCGATGTCGCGTCCTTCCGAGTATTGGTGTGGTTACGTGGATTCTCTCGCGTTCCTTTTCAGTTTTGTTCCTTTTGTGAGAGTCGCGAGCGCGTAGGCTCTTATCTTGGACAAGATTGCTCGTTTTTAAATGAAGTTATATCCCGGTTGAACACGGGGAGACGGAGGCGAGGCGAATTTTTAATTAGTTTCCGAAGATCGGGCATTTTTAAGGTGTACTTGTTCGCTGATTTAATTAAGTTGTTAGTCAATAGGGCGATAAATAATTAAAATAAACAGAGGTTTGAACTATAGTTGCTGTTTGTGTTACTTACTTGTAAGTAGGAATGTGAAATCGTTTTAACAGGAAAACGTTGCAATGTTGTTACTTTACCTCTCTTAAATGATTGTTCATTAACTCCCGAGAATCTATTTACTATATGTATTACGTATACTTTTTTTCTATCAAACCCTAACTGCGTTTCAGTGTGGCAAATATTTTCTAGAGTCTACAAGCTAAGCGTTAATAGGCGAGACAAAAAATCTCTATTAGGTACATTTATAGAAACACGTTTCATTTTAATTGTTTATATTAATCTCAAGATTAAGAAGAAGCAACAAGAGCAATAACATTAAAGCCGATGTTATCCGGTTCACGGGAGATAAACTCGCGACAAATATTTGCAGCATCCTCCAAAAAGGATTCCGATGTGGTAGCACCATGATCTATGGGAAACGCCTTTCTCCCATCGAGCTCGAACAACTTACCGTCCTTTTGAACGAATGTCACAAAATGATTGCTCGGTTCTGTATCGTCGGATCCTTCATTTCCACCAGATACAAGATCTCTATACGCGTCGAGGATCGCCCTGGAGTTTTCTAGAAGCGCGCCCTTAGCAGCCGCGTCGAGACCCTCAGCATCTGTCAGATACTTCTTTAACGGCCCATCTTCTATATCAATGGTCTGCGTATTGTTCGCCACGCTGTGCACAAGAGCAATCGTGCCACAGACGTTGCTAAGTACTTGCCTCAAGTGGAAAACGTCTTTCGGAGCTTGCAGACCCTTGCTTTTGAGTTCAGACTCCTCGCGACTTCTGTGCTCCTCGTAGTTGTCTGATAGTGGAAAGAGTAAGAGAACAGCGAGTACGGGGCGCGGTACCCACTGCAGGGCGTCCTTCTCCAAGCCGAGAACATCCACCATCTTCCATTTATCAGACACTCCGAGTTTCTGGAGGTACTTGTTCATGACTTCCGGATTGGATTCCATCGGTAATGCAACGGCCATGATTAAAAATAGATAGGCAGAATATACAGGGAATCTCTCTTATTTTTGCTTTACAGCTACCGTCAATTTTGATTGCGTGTGTTTTTAATTTTTTCAACTTACCAAGGAGTGTTTAATTAAAAGAGATTATATGCTTAGTAAAATATAATATTTTTCAGGTTTGTTAAAATGACAAATATATCACTGGGTTCTATAAACAAATAAAGACGGCCTAATAAACTCGTTCTTTATACAACGCAAGGCTATGCTTTCTGCGCTGTAAGTTCCAAGTGTATATAGAAATATGTACATACGCAACTGTTACTGAAATCTATACAAGCATAAAATTAAAATTCCCTTTCTCCCCCTTCACTGATTGATTATTTTACATGCATGTAGTTGATCAGACTATGCCCTGTCCTGCGAAACAAACAATTGTTTTCCCGGGATTCGAATATAGCACCTCTCTCGCTAAACGAAATGCTAAGCAACGTGATTAACCATTTAGCTACAGAGGCAGTCATCAAAGTATATGAGTCAAATTTAAAACCTTAAACCAAATAGGTTGATCTTTAAAGGGTCAACTGATCTCTACTCTCTTATTAAAGTGTCAAATACTGTCTTTGGTAAGTATCGGTTCCATTGAGAGCACTAAAGATGTGTGGCTATTAAAAGCAAAAGGGTACTGTATATACATTCGAGAAAAATTATTTATACGAACAGAAGATTTTAATACAATTTTATATATATTTGCCTGAACAAACCATGAGTGCATCTTTTAATGCAAACCTATAACTTTGAGCTGCTACCCACGACGTCGTCCGCGTCCCGCCGTTCTTGAAAGTTAATCTTAAAAGATAGACACATAGCGCTGCGGACTTTATTTTAATTCAGTTAAAGAGGAATCATTTTTTCATACATATTTTTTGGGTATCTTGAACCTTTTTCGCAGCGTACGCAATGGACACCCACAAATCACAATGTTGAATAATTTTCCCCGTTTTTTCGACATTTCCCGCTGTTTCTTCGCTCCTATTAGTTACAGCGTTATGTGTTCCTCAATCAATGCTCCAACTAATACAAAAAGAATTGCTCAATTTAAACCAATAGTTCCTGAGATTAGTGCGTTCAAACAAACAAACAAACTCTTTAGCTTTATAGAGGTATTGTGTGTTTAAATCTAATTTTATCCTCGAACTCGTTCAAACTGCAAACGTTGTGTGTATGGTGGCGTGGCACATTGGCGTTTAAAAGCTGCAATATTCACCAAAATTGTGTACATTTCATTATAGGGTGCTAGCCCCAATACTAGGATCCTCTGTGTCGTGGGCGGCTAGATCCTTCCGGTTCAATTCAAGAAAAACTTAGTATCTACTTATAAAGTTATTATACGCTAAATATTAAAATAATAAAAAAAAACCCTAAAAATATAGAAAACATTTTTGCCATACAATTACATAAACACAGTTTTCTGTTTGAGTATAATTTAATTTTAGAAGAAACACTTCAATTGTATTTAATTAATTAGAAAAAGAAGTAAGTGGGCTAATTATATTTTTTATTAATAAGTAAGTTAAGGAGGAAGGGGCCATTAAAGGTAAAAAATCGTTGGGCATAAGAGGTGTGTTTCAGCGGAGTGCGGAATTGGACTTTTCGTTGTGTTAAAGGTGTTTGTTGAGATGTTTTAGATTGTGATGGCGTTTTGAGTTGGCGACGACAAGTTGACATAATATACAGTTGCCTGACTGTCAGGAGATTACATTCTTTGTGTGATTTTGATGGCACGCTGTGCCCATTCTATTTTGACCATAAGAACGGATAGATAACTTATAATTGTATTACAATAACTTATGAAACAATCTAAACCTTTGAGCTAGACCATATTTATTTCATAGACGCAATAATAAAAGGTCCTGGACTCGAATCCTAGGGAAACGAAATCATCATGATGGATGGACAGCCAAACAGCCGTCGCTTCCGCCATCGTGATCTATACTATTCTTTCTGTTTCCAAGTCTTGAAATACGTAGAGAAACGTAATACATTGTTTCGGACACCAGTGTACTCAACTACTTGCGCGACACATTTTTTTTATGTCTATAGATGGTTAGTAGTTTCAAGCTATTCAATAAAACAACCACAGGTCATCTAAATATTTATTTTCGCTCAAACGCATACAATTTGGAAATTACATACAACTGCGACCGACTACATACATCTAACCACTACACTTTGTACTGATCGATTGCACTTCACATTAAAAGCTGCCAGTGACACAAATTTGTTACTTTTGTCTTTTTTAATATTAAACAAAAACCTCAAAATAAAAGAGGGTAGGTGGAAAAATCTCAACTCAATTTTCTGTTATTCCTCAACAATCACTTTTTAGAAAATCCTGAAAATGTCTTCTAAAGCACGCGAAACATATTTTCGATAGAAAAAAGTATCTATTTATTTGGTAATTTCGAGAACTAACACTGGCAACATTGTAACACACGTCAAATGGTAACACGGGCATTTTGAGCGACAAACGTTTTAAATAAATACGAATGACACAATTCCATTAGAAAAATAGCCGCAGAAATATTTGGTTACATTAAAATTTAAAAGTTACGGCTCATTATACAACTTTAGTAGGGGCGAAACATAATACTTGGTAATAAGACACACAAGTTTTTAATAGATAGGAAAAAAAGTCACGAACCAACTCAGATCAAGTTTAATGGCGTTTCGGTTTCAGTCCGTGGATTATCGAATGTCTAAAGCCAAAATAGGCCGACAGCGCATCTCGTTGACATATAATATGTCTGTCAACCTTTAAGTAAACCCCTTCTTTGTCTCTCCTCCTCTAATACAAAAAACTTGTTTTTCATGGACCACGAATGACTACTATTCAAAATAAGTAAATCAAAATATTTCGCGTTTGAAACCGTTAAAAATGTTTTATTCAAATGCCTCAAAGTGTAATGCAATCAGCAGCCTTAGGAAAGTTTAATAATGAGCCCATATTCTACTAACACTACTGAGAAATATCTAACGATAATGTATGATGATCAAAATCAATATAAACTACAATAATATCAGTCAATATAGCCACATCTTCGGTAACTTCTGTATGTTGATGTTCGGACATTATTTTAAATCCTTGGTTTAAAACATTAAGTTTTCTGTCAATTATAATTTTCACTTAAAACGTACACGCAACCTAAAATGTTTAATGAATGTAAAAATTATGCTATTTTAGATTGCAAAAAAGCCTTGGACAGGCCTAGAACCCACGACCACGTTCTGTATTGTTGCACTATAAAGCTCCGAGGTTTCTCGCTTCATCTAGTTATCAATTTATATACGATGTGAAAAAAATTTTTTTTTGACTTACATCTCTTTCCAACTGTATGAGTTAGAAAGAGACAGAACTACTTTCCATACATACATATTTTTTTATAAGGATTAAAATATAACATCCGAACAATACAATTTAACATGTAACTACAATACAATAAACAAGCATTAACTACAAGGAGTAACTACGATATCAATAATAATTATTGTAAATGTATCATAAATTGTTCGTTGGAAAGTTGAAATCACTTATACGAATATTGCTTTATATTAGCTAGTGTAAACGTCACAAAATATCACCAGATTGATGGAAAGACATTGTTTTTGCTATCGGAATGGGATTATTTATTAAGTATTGGCGAATCGCAATTCTCGGTTTTGGGTTGGCAACACCTGACTGTAAAAAAATAAATTGCCATTAGGAAGATTAGTAAAGCTTCTTTATTGCCTATTACAATATATATCTTAAAACATCTGGATAACGTATTGTAAAACGATAAGTGGAAAAATCCAAAGATTTTTTTTAGTCAGATGTTGCCAACCTTCATTATAAACATATATGAACCTTATTTCTAATAAAATAGTAAATAAGACATTAAATGCTGAGCGTACAATTTAGTTATCGAGAGGAATACATTTAGAAAACGTAAATAAATCCGATGTTAAAGCCAAAAGAGAAAATACTCTAAGCTACGATTAAACACGACAGTAATAATTAAATGTAAAAAGTATTATCTATTAAAAATCTCAAAAATGCACAGATATAAAATTGCACTGATATTTCAAAAACATAGTTATTAGGAATTGCGTGTACTTAATATTACCTAAACAAACGAATTAATTAGATTCGCTATCTCTTTCTGTCTGTACTATATGAGAAAGACAGCTATAGCGATGGTAAAATGGTTTGTCAAAATTAATGAAAATACCGTTGTGGTATTTATGAGTACCCACAACATACAAATTTTTGATTTTCTGATATACTCGTGTAATATAAGGGTATAACATATATAATAGAAAAAAGCTACTTAGATTATATTATTATGACAGAAATGTCTCGAATGGTAAGTTATACACAATAATTCATGTCTTATATTAAAAAAAAACCTGACTAACCTTTTACCTCTTGTCATATTTTTGCAGTTCAAAAGCCTGATGTAGTTGTGGTTTAACTACAAGAGTAGGTAAGTAAAACTCACACTTTATTTACTAAAATCGTAATTGATACTGTATAAACGGCTATGTTATATATAAGCCAGAAATATAATTCATATAAAAATTGCATTGATAAATTATAGCTTAAACAAATTACTGTAGCCTAAAATACAATTCGAAAAGGAATTTTAATTGTAAATGTATCACAAAAGGAAGTATAGTGTGTATATTTGAAAATTAAATAAATCGCTAATTTATATTTATAACTTACTGTTTTTTTAACGCCTGATCAAATTTAAAAGCAAAACCTCTTGTTTCAACATTCACGATTTTAAAATGTTCATGTATATTACAAAAACAGCATTTTAATTTTAAAATTATGGACGAAAATTTTACAGAACAGCGTTATAAGAAAACATTGAAAAGTACAGTGGAAAAAAGATACATACGTCATAAGTCCAGCGTGCTTTACTGCATGTAATTACAGTCGCACGCTCAACTCACGCGCATCGTATCAATGAATGACCTATCTATATAAGATGTTCAAAAAATATAATTTAAAAAATTAAATAAATTGTGCATTGTAGATGATCTACAAAAATATAAACTTATAATCGACTTAAACATAAATGAATAAAGAAAATATATTTGGATTTAAGGCCTGAGTCAAACCTATAAAACAAACAGAATTATACGTGAAAGTTATCCGAACAGTAACGCTAAGATAAATCTTGGATTGGGTTGGGATTGGCTTGTAATGTAGCTTACATCAATTTACTAAAATAATCTACATAAAAAAATAAATATGTATAAAAATGTACCGTCGTTTAAAAAATATCACATACTAAAAACGTTTATTTTATCTATAATAAATTCCCGATTAGTTATTGGCCACATCGAATTAAAAAAAAATATATGATTGTTAATACAGCTCCGTGTCAAGGGGTGTAAAAATAATAAAAAAAATATTTTGGCAATAACTTCGATGAAAATTATACTCGAAATTGTTTTAATACACATGGCACTATAACACAAAAAAAATCCAGTTTTAACCCAGCGCCTGTCTTTTTTTGGATAGCAGGTTCACAAAAACTATGCCCTGATACAAATCATTTGATTATATTGAAAAAGAGTCGTTAACTTTAAACTGTATGATACTAGCACAAAACAATATTTTGCCTATAGCAAATGATTTTTTTATATTGGGTTTCATGAAGCGCACAAAATTTCGTCTTCGCCACGGTTCTTGCGATGCCAAACTCATTGTTGCGTTTCTAATGGTTACAAGCGGTATTTTAGGTACATTTAAAAAAAATGCCTACAAACATTGAACGCGTCATATTTTAACATTTAAAATATATTTTTACTAGCATACCATTGTCTTTCGGGCTGTTCGGCCGACGTGAGCGAGAAGAGGTTCTCAACGTTTCACCATCAGGAATTTATTTCGAGCAATCCAGAAGCTAACATCTCCTGATGATGCTGTCCACACGTGATGGCGAAAATCACGTCGGCCGAACAGCCCGAAAGACAATGATATGCTGAACGATGGCCGTGAAAGCCTTACACAATTTATAATTTTGACAATATTTTTTTTACTTCTTTGTGCGTTAGTTAGTTTCAACACGCTGTTCTAATCATATATCTAATGGTAGGAGTATACCAAAACATATACAATTGTAGTTCTCAGTACAAAAGACGTTTAGCTCGCAAGAACCGAGTCTTCTACTAAAGAGGAGAAATTAGTTAGCAATGTGACTCGCCGTTTTCATGGTGCCCAGAATCAAAGCTGCTGAGGTGCCCTAGGCCTTTGGGTGGTATCGGGGGCGGAGTCTCCCCTTCGTCTACTCGTAGGGGCTCCGACATCATTGATATTATCTCGTCGTATCGGAGAGACTCGACAAGATCCAGGTCTGTAAATTAATTTGAACGTGGTAAAAAGTGGTTGAATCTTTAAAAAAAAATAACGGTTAATTGCAATGAAAGTAATAATGTATTATTAAGTAATAATAAAGAAGCATATAATAATAAAATCAGTAATAATTAAAAAAATTTAAAAGCACATACTCTATTAGAAGTATAGCTCTAGATCATACTCCTCCTACTACACAAGTAGTACACATTTAAATAAAACCCGTTTAACGGTTTCAAACCAAAAAAAATGGTTAACTCATTTTTAAATTACGTTTCGTATGCTTTACATATTAACTAGTATATATGCGTTTTAAACCGTTAAAAGGGTTTAATTTAAACATACAAGAAAGACAATAAACACCTCCAATTACGATAAACGTTATATACAATACTTTAAAGTAATTTTTGCATATGATTTTATTAATCTAATACTAATTATCAGAAATTTTTTAGTCGCAAAATTTTAATTACTCTCACCATTATGACGATGATCGTCAGCATTTGTGTACGCATGCGCATCTATGCTGACCCCGGAGTCCCGTTCATCGGTCACCGCTGCACTTCGCGCCGCACGCCGTGGTACTGCGGGTGCTTCGCCCCACGATTTCTTCTCACCTGAAAAACATTTTGGACATTAAGTTAGATTAAACGTAAAGTATCAGCATCGGACGTCAGACAAATGGAAATCGTAAAACTTTATTATGAAGAATGTCAAAGTCGAAAATAATTTATTTATGCAGGTAATACACTAGGTAGGTAACTTATGAACGTCACACCCGTAAAAAACTAAGGACTGTATTTTAATTTACTACCAGTTTTCAAATCAAGGGAGTAGAACGAACGACAAGAAATTGGTAATAAACTCGCGGCCCCCCCTTTTATGGCAAAGTTTCTTTTTACAGCCGTCACGTACTCCAAGTTCCATATTTTTTAAAAGTATATATAATGATACATCTACATTAATATTATAAAGGTGAAGAGTTCGTTCGTTTGAACGCGCTAATATCAGGAACCGATTCGAATAAAACATTATTTTAGTGTTGGTTGAACTATATATCCGGGAAGACTTTGGTTTTATAAAACATCAGGCTGCAACCAATATAGGTATATAGAAACAGTGGGAAATGTGATAAAATGAGAAATTTTTATTTGAACTTCTTTGAGTGCTCTGCGAAACCGAATCAAAGAATCAAAAAACTATATATGAAAGAATGATTATTTAATAAATGATCTAAAATTATGTCTACTTTAACACAAGAGTACCTGTAACGTTTCCGGACGTTAAACAATTACCGTATTTAGTATTAGATAGAGAAAATAATATATACCAGACACTCTTGGTGGCAACGGCGGTGCGTCGTGTTCACTCCAGGAGGCTCGGCTGTGTCTGCGTGTCTCAACTTCTTCGTCTACTGGGTCACTGTAAAAAAGTCAGAGGTTAAGTATTATCTATGCTTCGCAAAGGAAACCACTTTTAACGGTCTAATCGTGTTTTAAAATATATATTAGTTACTTTTTCAGCCTTTCACCTGACGTCTTACGAAAGGTGCTTAAAGACTGACATAATGGTATAAGTGTATATTTAAACGTTCGTTAAAAGCGATTTACTAACAACGGATATATTTCATTGAGACGATGTATTCCCTTGTGCAAGTATGTGTAATATACTAGGTTTACATATAAAGATGTATAACGAATAATCAACCGTACATCAACAAGTCATTATTTACGTTAAATAATGACTCACGTATTGTGAGGCCGCTAGAGACAGAACAGCCTAACCGTAATTTTATGATTTATCACAGTGACCGAATATTGTTAATAATATAGTATAAATTAATTCTCGCGTGGTTATTAACGTATTTTTATTTCCTCCTTAATGGAAAAATCATGTTTTTTGTTATAAGGTCACTCTGACTCTTGAAGGCTCATAATATATGGTTGATGTTGAAAGATTACATCTCATCTCATATGACATTAACAAGCTGTCGTGAATTCGAGTCTTGTTTGTATCATCGCAACTTCCGGTAAGTCTACGATCCCGGGCTATACGATATAATTAATCATAAAAAAATACGTTGTTGTATCAGAAAAAAGGTTCTTACCGATAAATCTTCTCCGGCCTGGTAGGGCTTCGTGGGTCACTCTTAGGACGGCAAGGTAAGGGCGGTGCCGACTTGATCATAGAGACAGCATCTTCACATTCTCGCCCATCGCTCGCCGGCAAACTGCTAGACATTATACTAGCTTGCTGTTCCAAAACGTCATCTACGGAATACTGAAAACAAAAATTAATCGTATATGGTTTAAAACATCAAATATATGTCGCGTTTTAAACAATTTGTGTACACCACTTGCATGATACACTACTTGCCAAATAATGCGTAGTATAGATATACTAATATATAAAAGTATGATTATTTGTTAGAACGCGCTAATCTCAGGAAGTACTGGTTCGAATTAATTTGTGATGGTAGTAATTTAATAATTGTAATAATATTACTTACAATTGGTTTATTATAGAGATGTGACTCATCATAATAACCATCGTTTTGTTGAATGCTGTGAGATCGCTTGTCCAGCGCTGGGACCGGAGGTAGTGGTGTGCTAAAAAAAGAAGAATGAAACAATAGAATACACAGTTTTGCTTAAAATTATAACAAAACGACTATATTAAGTATAATGTCTATACAATAAATTACAACATTTTTAACTGTATGTAAATAAAAATATAGTGTAATTTCACTCACTTGACTATACTCTCAGAGAGCTGTCGTCTTGCACGCGCCAGTCCCGGTCCCAAGTTCTGTCGCAACTGCGTGAATCTTTCGACAAGACGTCTGTAAATAATACGTAAAACTTAGTAAAGCCTAAGCGATTGTGTTATTAACCTTTTTTTACGTAGATATAGGAAATACTGAAACTTGTAAGAAATGAAAGTTTGTAAGTCTGTAGGCATATTATTTTATACCGCACGTAATTTATATAATACTAACAAATATAACTACAGATGACTACTTTGTCAGGGGACAAAAATGTATACGTCCAAACATAGATTAACTATTCATTAAGCATTGTCTATAGTTTACGCGAGTAGTACACATTTAAATACAAATACTGTCAGCATTATAACACTCATAACATAAGTTAACTAATTATATTTCGCGTTTTAAACCGTTAATAGTGTATTCATTTGAATAATTAATTCATTGCTTAATGCTTTAATAATAGTGCCTTATTTTTTATATTATATTTCCTGAAGTCTATTGACCCTTGTAAAACAATTTGCGTTTGAAAAATTAATATTTTCCACATGTTATTGCACATGAAGGCACTATATAATTTAAAAATCGACATGAGGTGTAGGACTCGGTAGCTCAATTGGTAGAGCAACAGCACGGAAAGCTGACGATGCCGGTTCAAGTCCTGCCCGGGTCGAAAATTTTTTCAATTTATTTTCGGATCGTTTTAAATTAAATTTTGCGTATTGAATTTTTCTAGTAGAATATCTGTAACATAATCTAGGCAAATACATTTACGTGTCATGTAATTGAATTTTTAATATGTATATATTTTTAACTCTCACCTATGCAGCGGTTTGACTTCTTCAGGTGCCAACCTTCCATGCAGACCCAGCGCTGCTTCTAACACCGCAAGCTGTGACGACACGAGCCGTCTCAACTTAGCCGCGGCTGTGGCTTCTCTCGGCGTTGCGTTTCTACTAAATTCCGCAGTCAAAAACGCCTGTTCATATTTCGTTATCCCCCCTTGTACGTTAGCGTCGATCGTGCCTTGTAATCTCATTGAGAACGGATTGATGTTGCGCGTCGGGTCAGCTGTGTATTGCGAAATTAGATTGCGCAACTCGCGTTCTGTCGATTCCATTGTTTCACATGCAAACTAAAAAATAAATAAATAGATGGTTTCATTTAAATAAAACACTTTAACGGTTTAAAACGCGATATATTAGTTAAACTTATTTAAAAATGATTTTTAACTTCGGCCCGACGTTTCGGATGCTTTGCAGCAGCCGTGGTCACGGGGAGGGTGGAACTTTAAAAAATACTGTCATTAAGTTGATCAGACTTCTACCACTATAAAAAAATAATTAAACATACGTTCTACGCCCATTTCATAAATATGAACGTGCTGAGTATATGGGAACAGGAAGTAATAAGTTTCCTTTACAATTCCTTGAACCCCGTGTTAAGGAAACATGTAAGTACGAAGGAATTTCTTTTCTGATACGCAAATACTGAATATTGCTTATCAGGCAATAAAAAATACTACGACAAATAACAAAAAAACTAAAATTTTACACTTACTTCCACGGGCGGAATTTCTTCAACCGATCTCGTAATTACTTCGGACCATCTTAATATATTGGGTAATGTATTTTCCGTTACTAGTGTTGTACGCTCAATCCACAGACTCTGTATCGATAAAGAAAAGATGTAATGAAGGGAAATTTTTATAAACATAAATCTATTTAGATTAATACAGTTTGACTCTGACCAATTTAACAGGCGCAATGTAATTTAAACCCTTCCTTTTTACAGCTTGAAAAATCATAGAGTTGTTAAAAAAATAATATTTTTTTAAATTTTCAGTGTAAATGAAAATTAAAAAGATTGAAAAAAAATGCCAATTGGTTAGATAATCTTTTTCAATCGATTTCGATGATCGACTAAATAACGAAAATTAAAGGTTTCGAACGATCGATAAGACTAAATTACTATTTCAAAATAATGTAATCTGTCTTACCTTGAATTCATTATCCTTATCAATAGGAGGTTTATGCAAAGGCCTATCGCAAAGAAACGTATCGACGTCGTTGAACGCATAAAATCGTTTCACCTGCTCAGGCGCATTGGTTGGGCAGGAATGGACCGACGCCACAGGTTTTACGTTACATATTTGTATATCTGAAATTAATAAACCATTAGTTTATTTTATATTTAAAGAACATGTTGTAATTTATAGCTTGATAATGATTCTTAAGAATATGATTTGGCTATTCGGCTACTTCACCGTTAATAAAAACATTTTAACGGTTTACAACGCGAAATATACTTATATACATACTGCCTGCAGTTTACGCGAGTAGTACACATTTAAATAAAACACTTTAACGGTTTAAACGCGATATTTTAGTTAAATTTATCGGGGGTGCCGTTTAGCCGTGGTCACGGGGAGACTCCCTGTGACCACGGCTTCTGCAAAGAATCCGAAACGTCGGGCCGTAGTTAAAAATAATTTTCAAACAAGTTACAGTGTTTTATTTAAATACTTACATATTTCGCAGTTAGTGTAGTTAGGTGTTTTTTTAACATGATAACAAACGATTCTTATGAATATGAGAAATTTGAAATTTGAACATGAATATTGTGTACTTACATTGACCATCAGCAGCGATAACAGACTCGTCTGGCGGCGTATTTCGCATCAAGATATGAGCGGACACGTACTCGGCTTGAAGACGCTGCGTGAACGCACCTATACGTTCGTACTCATAACCGCGGTACACGAACTGTTTGTTCTGAAGAAAAAAAACATAACTTGAGTGTAATGGTAGCAATAATCATCGGGTCAACATATTATTATAGTTGGACTTCTATTAATCTGGATATTAATTGGGTGTTAGAAATATCGAAGTCCCGTACGTATCACGAACCACCGCCCGGAGATGAAAAAACCATGAAGTTTAATCGCGTTATAGTTTCAGTCTGTGGAAAAGGAAATACAACTAATATTCTAAGTATTTTTCATTCAACGGACAATATGTAGATTATAATATTATTACAATTTATTGACTTTTCTTTTAAGGTTTACTTACCCTTACAAATAATGGACATCCCTTCCCATAAAATCCGACTCTGAAGTATTCGGGCTCAGGCCTTAATTCCTTCAATACGGAGTCTAGGAATGTAGCGTGTGTCCGCAGGCATTGTGCTAAGCGGGCATAGTCACAGAGTTTCACTTCATACAAAGTGGCCAACTCACGGAGTAGTGGTAGACCTTTCTCCCAACACTGAAATAACAACATACCAATTAATTAAAAAAAAAACTTTGATGAGGAACGGATAGGTCCCGGTAGGTCAATTGGATGGAACAGTACGCGGATCACAATGAATGCTGGTTCAAGTCACGTTCGTTGTTCCGAAATTTTCAAGCCAAAAAGATTTTTAATTTATATAATTGCGAAAAATACGAGAACAGGATGTTATGTGGTAACATAAAAGAAAGTGGCAAGTTTATACAATGATAGAAAGACGAATGAAAAAACGAAAGCGAAGAGAATTAAAATAAAAAGTTGAAGTCAAGTTGGAATTCTATATATTAAAAATATAAAGATAGTAAGACCCATGTGTATAAAGTTTTCTGAAGGACGAAGCTCTTATTGAATTATATTTAAGGTATTATAATCTATTAAGAAAATAATAAAGCTATACCTTTCCTCTGTCAAAGTATTGCAATACTTGATTGTAGAGCGCCTCCTTTCTCTTCCATTCCGGCGTTTCGGGGTGTTCAGAGTCAACTCCGATTTGATCACTATCCCAGTTTAAAGTCTCGGCGTACAACTGAAACAGATATTATGTATAGGTTAAGTTACATACCCCGTATACTGTTTTCGTTCGTCCACATTTAATTCAGATGAAATAGAAACGGAATTACCAGCAGTGTACAGCCGGCCTCGACAAAGTTATCAGATGCGATATGTAGATCGTGTAGTTTATACACATAGCGTAGGTACATTTCCTTGCGGTCTATTTCGTTCTTGTAGAAGTTCTGCAAAATGACAAATATCATAAATAACAGAAAATCTTCATGTGTATATGAATAGAAATCTTCTGATCACGAGTAAACAATTTTGAGGTTAGAGTTGAACCCTAGAGTGCACCTTACTATGTATCGGTTTTAACTTACGATTCTTAATAAATATAAATTAGGTAATACTTGGCAACTTCAGTGCATTGTATTACTTATGTTATATTTTTTTACTAAATATTTTCTTACGTGAAACAAAAAGTATTTACGTGTACCTAACCATTACCTTACAAGAAATCTAAAATAAACCGAATTTTAAATACCAATAGGTTCACAGTAGCAGACATCCGTTTATCCCGATGTTCGGCCCCTTGCATCACAGCCCGATAATCTAGAAGCCTCTCCAACAATCTCGTTACACAGCCAACAAAAGCCGCGCCGGCTTCACGCCAACCTTCCGTTGATACGCGCTCCATAAGCCTACAAATATTAGAGATCATAGTTTAATTGTAAAAAAGAAGAGAAGGACGAAGTTAGATGATAATTTTAGGACTATAATTTTTATTACTATGCAAGGAAAAATACAGGCTATATTGTATTACTGGAAATTAAGCTACTTTTATACTTACACAGAACTCAAATGCTCCCTGATGTATGATAGCGTAATTAAAAACAGTGTTAATAAGTGTTAACAATAACAGTAATAATTAATTCGAGTATTTATTACTAAGTGTTATATGAGTTTACCCATTGAAAAATAATACTTACACAGTATCAAACAGCCGTCTATAATGATCGTCAGCTTTATTATCAGCGACTAAAGAGTCAAGTTTATCAACCAAAGCGGCTTCAGTGCGCCTCGCTGATCCGGTGGCTGCTCTTTCCGCAGCCATGAGCGCTACTAGTGCTCCTAGCGCTGCTCTACGTAATTCGCCTACGAGAGTTATCTCCAAAAGAGCCCCTACAGCGGCTCCTATTAGTTGCAACTGAGCTGCTCCTGCAATGCAATAAAAAAATATATACCTTAAATAAAAGTAGTATATTTTACACTGTATTTTTTTTATTATGGAGGTGGACAGACAAACGTGAGATTCACTTGATTGAAGGTGAACTACTCCAGCCATATAACATCCGTACTAAATGCGCTATAGAGATAGTTCGGCTTTGGTTTATTTAGAGACCCAGAGAATGAAGCCAGTTCGACTTAACAGTCTGTGGACGCTGATTCGTGAACCGGACGGAATACCGATATTCCTACCACCTATTTAATATTCAGGTTTTCAGACGAAATCTCGTGACGAAGGATCCTGTGGATACATTGATCTTACATCGTGTCATTAGACCTATGAGCCCGAAAAAATATAACATGTTATAATATTTTTATAATAATCTAGGTTATCGTAATACTTACCAAGCCTACTCCAAACAGCTAATACTTGCAGCCCAGCCGCAGCTCTCATACCACCTCTATCTGGTCCTTTACCAGTCCATCGTTCTGTTTGCAACGCACTAGACGTAACAAGGGCTACACCTAGCTCCATGTATCCGGACCAGAGCTAAAAAAATATTTTGAGAATACAATAGCCTAGAATATAACAGCTTACGTTGTTTACAATCTTAACCAAAAGATGGCGCTGCAACAATTTTAGTAGTTGTACTTAATACTTTTTTTAAATATAATGAGGTTGAGCTTTATAGACGTTGTCTAATATTAAATAAATATCTTCATATACCCCTTCTCGTCTTACAGACAGTTTAAGACGTATAATACAAGCGTAACAAATAAAAACTAACTTGAGAATCGAATTGCGGTGGTTCGTCTCCTAGAAATCGTTCCAGTAGGGGCTTTGCGAGATCCTGTAAAGCAGATAACAGCACTTTACAACTTTGGACGCGAAGCACCATCCAATCTGAGGGAAACACCTGTAACGATAAAAATAATATTAAGCACACCTGTTTGTTATATAAGGCGTTACAAAAGCATAAACACATACATTGTTGGTTATTAATAATAGAATTTAATAAAGAAAATAAGTATGTACTCACGTCTTGTTCAATTAGATGACGGAATACGAGAAAAGCGCGCATCAAGAAGTCCTTTAGTGGTTTCCTGTCGTGCGGATGAGGTGCAAGGTGACTCCACAAACGTTGGTAGTGAGCTGGTTTCAATAATTCCATTACACCGAGTAGACCAGCCACCATTGAGCCCTAAAATAATAACATTTGATCATATTATCTATCGGAATCATTGCAGAAACTTATAATACGTTGCAACAAATAATTTATAAGCATTATAGAAAATGTTTTATATAATGTGAAGAGGGACTAAAGACTAACTATACGACTAAGTGTATTCTAACACACTTAATAGGGGAATAAGGCAAAAAGCAATTAAGACAGACCCTTGTATTTACAAGAACAGGCGAATTTCCACCAATAAGATGAAGAACTGTTTCCACGAGAACATCAAGCGTGTTCAAGCAGAGTACATCCACGTCTGGGTCCAGTTCATCATCATCCAGCTGTTCCTCAGGGTCTTCCTTCTTCCAGAGGAGCGTAACTAGCTCGCCCAGCATATCCGCACATTGGGATAATTCATCGCGTCTAGCGAGATGTACGCGTAGATGGTGGCACGCGGTCGTGAGTACTATGTTTCGCGCTTCTGTATATGACAAAAGGTATAACAAATAGTAATGAAAAGATAGGTCTGTACAGACAGCAGACAGGTGTGTCTGCATATTTGATTATATGTGTTGTAGGTGAGTGATTGTGTTTTTTTTGGTATCATTATTGATAGCTTACTATTTAGGTAGCTAGGATAAATAATTTGGGTGTCCCCTTAAAAGCAGATTTGAAATGTAATATTGGCGTTCCGATCATAACTTGATCATCAAAAACCAAAAACGGTCCGGTTTTTGCCGACCCGTGTTTGATAAGCATGTAAAAAGTACGTATACAGAAGGTATACCCTTACTTAATAATGTATGGTATAACATACTGTATTTATATAAGATACATAACAAATTTACCGAGAGATTCTAAGACAATTCCAGTAATCTTGACAAAAGCGACTTCAAGAGATTAACATCTTACCCGGTTCTTGTCCCAAAGGTCCCTTCAATATTTCTTGTGCGGCAGCGAGTCTAGCGCGAGCTAAAGGAGCGGGCACATTGGCTGCAAATGCATCAAGAATGGATGCGGATATCCTGGCTGCTTCAACTGGACCAAGCGCAGATGATACTTCCTTTGCTACACTCGCCCATGACGTCATTAGGGCCACCTATCAAAGTCATTTTTCATCATTACTATTACATAGGTCAAAGGACACGTACAAAAAAAAAAGATACGTATTGATAAATGAATTATATAAATATAATTTCATGTAAATAGAACACCTTCTAATCTATTTATTAAACTTTACATATTATTTTAACTAGAGCCCGACGTTTCAGATGTTTTGCAGCAGCCAAGGGGGTGTCTCTAATGTCAAAATATAGACTGCTATATGAGCGCCATTTGTTCCACCATAGTTAGTATTTGTGGAACCTCAGGCGTATTTATAATATTTGTAAAGTTTAACTAATACATTTCGCCTTTTAGGCCGTTAAAAGTTACTGTCAGTTAAAATTTGGAAATGTTGCATATTGTATTATTAGGCCAAAATGTTACCCTATGAAATCGGTTTTTTTTTCTATTTCATGCATTATTTGGTACAAAAAACATGAAAAAATACCTGCGCAGCAGCCAAATGCTCTCTATGCGGATGCTGGGCTAACGCTTTCAAGGCGTGTAGAGCAGCCCTAACGTCCCTTCTAAAGCTGTCTTCATACTGTCCGCCCGTCGCCCGAGCGAACAAGCAACGAGATCGCACAGCCAATCTGAACACGGCACCGAGAGATCTGAGGCATTTGCGTATTGGCTCTTGACCCTCAGCGCCTGCAGCCCACTCCGCGCAATGTTGCACCGACGATAGAAGACCTCTATTTTTTATACAGGATATTTGTAAATAACGTCAGTACAAATTATAAGTTCTAGGTATTTAGTAAATTTTCTCAGAAAAAAGGTTATATGTAACATTTAAAGTGAATCAGCGAAGCGAATGTCAGTCAAGTATACTTTATTCTTATAGTAATGTTTTTAAATACAAATAAACGGGTTTATTCCGAATCACCGGCCATAGATGACAAAACCGTATACATATTTTAATCGCGTTTCGGTTTCCGTCTATGCGTTTCCGAATATCCAAAGCCAAAATAGGTCGACAGCGTGCCATACTAGATGTTATATTTCACCTCCCATCGAGTGAAGCCTATCCTCCTATATCACAAAGAAAATGTTCCGACCGAATGTCTTACACCAAAATACTTTGCAGATATTTTTTTCTACAAACTAAGTTAGGAAATCTTACTTGTATACAAGCGCAGCTGAAAAATGTTCTTCGATATAAACGTCCAGCACTGGCCTAAAATGTTGAAAGCGACTCTCATCTAGAAGACTGCATATTGATACAAGGACCAGAAACACTGTTCCGGAGTGCGGCGTGCTGAAACAGATAAGCAAAACAATTTAGCATGATAACTATCAATAAATGATGTTAAAAGTATATTTGTTTCTTTTTTAAACAAATAACTTTACTAATATATAAAGCTGAAGAGTTTGTTTGTTTATTTAACGCGCTAATCTCGGAACTACCCGTTCGAATTGATAAAACCTTTTGTAACATTAAACCACTTATCGAGAAAGGTTATAAAACATTGTGCGGTGACTAATAAACAACATGGTAAACATCTTTGTTGGTTTCCGTTGCGTTTGTTGCGAAAACCGTTCAAGATGCCCAAAAATTATGAATGAAAGAAAGATTCACCTTAAAATGATCTAAAAATGTTCGCGACAGTAAAAGTCTCTCCTTTAAGAAAAACTTGCAAGATCGACGGGACGCGGACGACATCGTGAGTAACAGCATAAATTTACAGAGTTTAACAGGAGGTACGCAAAAACAAATTATGATACACAAAATAACTAATCTACGCGGACGAAGTCGCTGACACAGCTAGTTATTATTAAAACAGTACCTATTGCCATCCTCAGTAGAGAACAAAGCGAACAACGCATCCAGTACATCCCTAAGGAACTTGATTAATTCCTCGCAGCTGAGTCCGTCGCCAAGGCGAAGAACTCTCAACAACGTTTCTTGTACTTTTTCCGGGTGGGCACGCCATTGTAGAAGCGCTAAGAGATCCTCTGTAAAAATAGTTTTTGATATTCGTTAGTACACAGTTACTTTATAGAAACGCATTCATAGAAGATTGGTTTGTAATATTAGAAGTGGCACCTTACCATTCTGAGTTAATTTTGTAGAGCAAAGCACAGTACTAATTGTACAGTTTTCTTTAGTGCTCCTCGGGAAGGACGCAACTAATCCGTTTGAAGCAGACGCACGATTCATATCGTTCCCGCAAGATGGCAGTGATAGATAACTGGCTGGTGTCAACCTAAAAAAAAATATGGCAAGTATTTTTTAAATACATTGCAATACGTGTCACTAAGAAGTTTGACTATCTTGTTATTTAGTATACATACATTCATGAAACACGCTTAATTTAACTTAGGCTCCGTTCAAGTATACAAAAATATTTTTACCTATTATTGCGCATGAATAGATTTTTGAGATGTATAAGAGGAATACTTGAATTACTAAACTACTTACTTTGTTGGATCGTCACATTTATAAACATACAACTCGTGGGCCCCGTCTCGGAGTGTCGCTCCACTGGGTTCCATCAAACGCGCGAACGAAAATCCGAACAGTTTTCTTTCGTTCTTATCTCGGGCTGTAAAGCGAAAATTGTTTTTATAATACGAGATAAGATAGAGAGAGATAATAAGAGAGTTCAACTCTCATTTAGCTTTTAAAGTTATCTTTCTTAATACTGTCTTCAGCGGAAATATTTCTCAGCTTAAAGATAAGCAAAATGCATACATACTTTAGGGCCAGGAAAATATTGTTACATGATACATTTATTTATGAGATAACGATTTGATTCTCAGACAAATGGGAAAAAAATGTTTTGTGGTTTAAGAGAAAAACATTAAACGGGCAAATGTACTTCTTGTTTTTAATGGAAATAACAGTAATCGTATTGTATTCAAATTACAAAGCATTTCCTAAGGACTTACTGGAACAATGTCTAAATTCGATCCGAACATGGGCATGAGTGAACGTCTCTAGAGGAACTGTCAAACGCAACTGCTCTCCCCACGCCGGACTGTTATTGTGGTACAAGACTAGCGACTCGTAAGAGGTCGAACCAATCCCGCTTGCGCCCCATACACAATCCTGAGAAAAAAAATGCGTATAATACGAAAAATTGAAATCTCTTTCTTAATCCTAATGTTTTTTAAATAATAAAAAATCTTGACTACTTTGACGTCAGAGACATCCTCCATCTTTAGTCTCCCCGTGACCACGGCTGCACAGAATCCGAAACGTCGGGCCGGAGTTGAAAATAAGTTTAACTAATATATCGCGTTTTCAACCGTTAAAGTGTTTTATTTAAATGTGTACTACTCGCGTAAACTATAGACAGTATTTAATAGAAATCAACTTAACTTAAGTATTTTTTTCCAATGGTTATTATATGAATTATTTTTACAATGGTACCAATGCGATCATAACAATAAAATAAAATATATTCCTAACGAGTCTATTTATGTTATTGAATCATCTCATATAAGACTATCTGCGCCCGTGAAAAACGACTAACGACGCCGTCCGCGTCTCGTTGTTCTTGCGAGTTAATTTTAAAAGTCCTACTACCCACTAGCGGACATTATTTTAGATGTTAAAAGAACAAAAATACTGATTTGCTAAATATTGATACATATTTTTGTGTATACCGTTTTCGGAACAAGAGCAACGGTAACCCTCAAAGACGAATTTCTCCCGTTTTCTACACATTTCCCACTGTTTTTTCGCTCATATTTGATGCAGCCTGATATTTATAGTCCCTTAAATGGTATGAAAACAAAAGTATTTTTTCAATCCAAACCAATCATTACTGAGATTAGCGCGTTCAAACAAAGAAACTCTTCAGCTTAGATAAGTGACAGGTCCCCCTTCTAAAAAAATGACAAATAGTGATAAAAGGTGATCTGTGCAAATATAATACCAAGAAGATGGTCGAAATACTTCAAATACTTACAGTTATCACCTGTCCCGTATTATCATGGACACTGACTGTAGCCATGACATTCTTCGCTGTACTTTTCCCGCCCCTCTCAAACTCCGCCTTCTCTAAGGTCAAGTAGAGGTCATTACGTACATCCCCCGGCATTATCACATCGGGAAATCCCCGTTTTGCTGTAACAGTTGCGCCGGAGGCTACAGCTTCGGATATGCTGCCTTGGTTCGTGAGCAGTCTCAGAGCGACTACGATACCTGTTGGGAATTATGATTTGTTTACATGGAATTTCTTTGCTACTATCAATATAGCTGACTAAAGTATATCCGAATATCCAAAGCCAATATATGATGTTATATGACTGGGTTAGTTCACCCCCCGTGAAGTAAATCCGATGTTTGTCAGACCTCCCCTGCTAGTATTATTAACTCAATTTCAAGAAAGTGTTTATCAAGGTAAAAAATTTGAACACAAACAACGCCACGAAAGTTTTTTACACGTTAGGTACCTATTTTACTAGGTTTTGGTATCTGACTAAATGTGGGACCTAAATCCAATAGGATTGTTTTTAACAAAATGATAATTCTAATACGAACCAATCTTCGAATATCTAAAATCTCGTGTAAAAATGTATATAGCTGGGATATTTCATCTTCCATCAAGTAAGCTTCGTTCTCTGTCATAAGCGAATTAACACCAACTAAAATTGCAATAAATAGCACCATATTTACCATAGTTAGGCTGGCCCGGTAAGATATTGCACTTGTTCGTTTGTTTGCGTATGAGCAAGTCGTGAAGTTGATGAAAGTCTTTCTCTTCGCATTGGTACACCTGAAATTAAATTAAAATAGAGTTACTCAAAAAATCCATAATTTCTACATACCAATTGTGATTATAGTAACATAGAGGTAACATTGATTATGTAATCGATCGTATAAGACAATATTATCTCAGCATAATTAAAATAAGATTTGGCAAGCAGGAGTTATTGTAAATTAAAAATCTATTTTAGTTTAAAATATTACATGGGCGGGACTTGAAGCGGCATCCGCAGCGTTCCGTACTGGTCTACCAGGGTACCAGTTGAGCTGCCATGTCCTTATTACACATAATTGTTATTCGACTTATTGTCTACACGTAATAAAAAATCGAATCTACATATAAGCCACTGTCTACACAGTGAGAAGTCGCGAAATTAAAAAAAAATCGCGTTTTGGTTACATTCTTTGGATTTCTGATAGTTCAAAGCTACAATACGTCTAACCTTTGCGTCCCTTTTATTGTGACAAAATAAGGATACTAATTACCTTAACTGTAGAGATAATAACTAATTACATTAACCATAGAGATTTCTATGTCGAAGACTATGTTATATCTATGATACAAAGTATCTTATGTGCAATATTAACCAAAAAGACGTGACTCAATATTTAGTTCATTTGGTTCAAGTACAGTCGTTAACAAAACATTACAAAACGACATGCGCTTTGTCTCCATTTAATGAGTAAACATACAAGTCTTGCTGAAATAGTAAACATTAGATGCATCGTAACAGGTAGCTGTGGCAGATGACTAACTACTGGGAACAAATCGAATACATGTGGAGCTACATAAGGCACAATATTTATGAAAAGCATTCGACACGTCAACCTTATATTGATAAAAAGATAAAAGATGAAATGTCTGATACATTGCAACTTTCCCACCGGCTCAATACCTAAATCGCTAAGCTTCTTGCCAAGCATTTCATGACTCGAGTACGAATCCTCGGGAGAAAATATTTGTTTCGGGCGGACAGGACACAGAATTCTGTACACCTACCAGTCTGTTGCTGTTGCATATCTTAAAATTACGAAGAGCGGTACTTTCTCCATATTTTTTATTTACTAAATAACTTAAAAGAGTTCTCTCGTTAGTCTATTATAACCCTTTAAATGAAATTACCTTAAACGTATACTCCTTCTCCATAGACGGCTGCTCGAGTTGCCTCAAGAATTCGGCCAACGGTAGCACGCCGGCCCCCAATGGCCTCCTAGCTACGGGCCCACGTCTCTCCCCTGTACCGCTGCCTATGCTGCCAGCACCAGACCACCTTCCGACACGAATCACCCACGCCACCAGCCATAGTTCGCGAGAGAGATCCGTCGCAGATAAGTCCTGTAATGGGATTGAGATTTTTTTTTAATTTGTGGGATTTTATATGATAGAGGAGGACAACATAGGGAGATGCGCTATCGACCTATTTAGCTTTGGATATTTAAAAACCACAACACGAAAACGATATGCTGTAAACTTTACTGCTTTTTCATTTGTCTTCTTACGATTGCGCGTTAAAACCTTTATAATAAAGTATTGGCCTAGTGCGAAGACAGTTCTTTATCCTGTTAGTACATAAGGCATTGATACTTACACACAAGACTTATGAGGAAATTTTGAGGTAACCGCGATCACAAAAACCCCCACAAAATTATGAATATTGCAAGTCATTATGATTAAGTGTAGACAGAGGACTTCACTGTTAACATTAATTAATATAAATAACAAAGACAGGCAAATAAAGGCACTATTCCTTCCATTTCTAAGCCCCGATCAACAATCTATTTTACTTTAATTATTTATTATCAGGGACCAGTGATAGAGAATTTATGAAAATTTATAAACAGGTAGAGAGTCAAACCAAGGGATCCGTTTTTAACCTAAAACTACCTAATACTCAGACAACAAAGTACTATTAGATAGCATTAATTTTTAACCATTATTGGATAGGTATATAGGATCACGTGAAGTAAGCTATAAGGATAAGTAAACAAAGTATGTATTTAACATTTATCATTTGGCTTGTATACTTAAAATTAGACTACAAATCGCTTTAAAACATATACATTAAAAAGCAAGTGAGTGAAAGTTTATTTCGCCACTTTGGTTATAGACAACGTTAATTTTGGCGACCTTTGAATATAAAGATGACGGTGTACAGAGGTAAGCGAGAAAGTGGGTAAATGTGGACCGCTCGTTATGTAGGACCACTAACAAGATCTGTCCTAACTAAAGGACATAGGATATTAGGTCAAAGAATATATAGATAAAACTTTCTATCGTTTTTGCATTATTGTATGCTTACTGCCTAATGTACTAGTCTTTTAGGTATTATATGTAATTGACACGAGCAGTACGCCTTTAAATGAAACACTTTTAACGGTATCAAACGCAAGGTACATTAATGCCTTTATTTAAAAGTTATTTTAATCACATAGAGTCCACCACAGCTGCTGCAAAGCCTCCGAAACGTCGGGCCGTAGTCAAAATAGATTTTCAATAAATGAACTAATATATTTGCGTTTTAAACTGTTAAAAAGGTTTAACGGTTACTTAAAACTTATAATGGTTTTACTTGTAGATTACAAGTTTATGCAAACTCATAACAACGTAATCTGTACCTCAAAAACAGCCTTGAATGCGAAAATAACTTTAACAATTGAATTGGTAGGGATTTTTCGTCGTGCTCTAAACTTAGCACAAAAACCTCAAACGGTAGTTATAAATGGTAATGGGCATAGAAAATCCGGGTTATTGACACAATGAACCGCGACACACGTTTAGACCTCAGCGATGCAATATGGGGATTATAGAGCTAAGAACGACGTAAGTTGGTAAGACATATATATCTCGTTTGAATTAAAGTTACGTTATTTTGACTGGTCTAGTAATAGCTAGAACGGGACATGGAGCGACTCCCACCGGGTCCAACATTTTCTTACCAATTAATAAATAGGTGGTAACATTTAGCAGGATGAAAAATAGATGTTGGCCGATTCTCATAGATACCGGATCAGCACAAATAAAAAACATCAAAATCGGTCAAGCCGTATCGAAGGAGTATGGCAACGAAAATTGTGACACGAAAATTTTATATATTGGACTAGCTGACCCGGCAAACGTTATTTTGCCATATAAAAATAAGACTTAATCGTAGAAGGATGAAAATTGAGGATTGTATGTATTTTTGTTTGTTGTATCATAAAAAAATAGTAATATAATTTTTTGTATAAATAATAAAAAAATTAGGGGTGGACTGCCCTTAAGATTTAGGGGGATGAAAAATAGAAGTTGGCCGATTCTCATAGATACCGGATAAGCACAAAAAATTTAATCAAAATCGGTCAAGCCGTATCGGAGGAGTATGGCAACGAAAACTGTGACACGAAAATTTTATATATGTATTAGATGTGCCTACGTCGGGCGAGTGTGACGTGGGGAGTGTGGAAATCGTATAGCCGACCAGAACCACTAAACACACTACCGACCCTCTACGATGCTTTGAAGGAGCCCTGGGGAACACGTTTGTAAGACTTGAAAGCACTAAAGCCCATTTCAGACAAGGCAGTAGCGAGATTAGGGATGATCCTATCAATCCTTAAGCAATATAATATATAGTTCATCTATATTTACAAACCGGAGCTAGGAACTTACTCATGGAAGTTGTTGTCTACATAATATTTTCCTGGTAAGATCTAACTTAAAATTACAAAAAGACATTCGATAAATTCTCAGTTAAATAAAACAGTTTTTGGATATTACCAAAACGTCCATAACATACAGACAAGACATTAATTGAGGAAAATATATTGGTGTTACTCTTTGTGGTTCCTTAAAGATATAGTATTACAGTAAATATATAGGATAAAAAAAATATTATAGATATAGGGATCAAAATGTTTGTAAACGTAAAAATGTATAATTTCTTTATTTAAGATTGTTTAAATGCAACGTAGTTTTAAGTTTTTTAATAAGTTTCTTTCTTAGACTAATTTAGTAGATTATCCAATGAAATCGAAGATTGAAAAAATGTAATATCAAAATAAAATACTTTTAACGGTTTCAAACTAAATGTATCAGTTAATTTATTTTAACGAGGGCCTGACATGGAAGCTTCGGATACTTTTCTCAGTGCAACAAATCCTTATTGAGGATACCTACATTGATATAAAGCTAACACATACATAGGAAAATGTCCTTACAGTGGAAAAAATAAACCTTCAAAGTGGGACCACTCACCGCAAAGAGCGTGCTATTAGCATGAAGCCTGTCTATGTAATTGGAGAAGCCATCTCTCGCTATCCGAACGCGGAATCTCTCGGACAACGGTTGCGAGCGCCTCGCGTCGTGTAACCATAGCAACAGCTCGGCCTCGTCCCCCCCGGCCGTGTGCCCGAAGTCCCGCATACTGCACATGAGGTAGTGCGACTGCGCAGTGGTGGGGGTCTGCGTGCTGGTGAGAGTCCCGGAGTTGAAGCTGCTCCCGGAACCGCCGGCGCGACGCATCGTTCCGAGCCACTGGAAGTTTGAGATGGTTAATTGAATATTAGAGACGGCCGCCAATTGTATACATTTGAATACTGTCTGTAGTTTACTCGAACAATGGACGTAATAAAACACTTTTTAACGGTTTAAAAAGAAACGTCGGGCCGTATTAAATTTAAATTAAATTGTAATAAGTTTGACCAATATTCGCGTTTTAAACCGTCAAAAGTGTTTTACTACTTCAATGATGTACAATCATAAAGTCTCAAAAATGCTTTTAAGCAGCTCGTCGATCTATTAAGAACGTTATTCGATAGCTATGGGCGTTGGTTCGATTCCTGTTAGTTTAAATGTGTATTAGTGTCGTATTAAAACCATCGTCTATACTTCTATCTATTAAGATTGACTTGCAAGAACGACGGGGCGCGGACGACGTGACAGGTTAAATTTATAGAGTTTGTTACAGAAGGTTTGCAAAGACAAATTTTGATGCCAACAAAATAACTATTCCACGCGGACGAAGTCGCTGGCACAGCTTGTAAAAGACAAAACCTACTTTTATGAGTCATATATACAAAACGCCAATCAGCACTAAAAAATAGATCCGTGCCATCATGAATCACGCCAGCATCCAAAAGACTTGCTGATAACACGTAATATAGTATTTCGATGTGGTTGCAGTCTGTGTAGCCTGCATGTGTCACACAGATGGCGCGAATTACATCACATGCAACATTTACAAATAAAGAAACCTGACCTTTTGCACCCATTAATATCTGTATCGAGAATGCATTGAGTCCTTTTACAGTTGTACGAATGACCGACTTAAATAAAGTACTAGCGAACCAATGTTGTTTTGCCATAAAATAAATTTGTTTTAGAAATATTTTGGTAGAGATTAAGGAACGAGTACTTTTTCACAAAAAAATATTTTCAACCCTTAAATAATGTATTTACAAATTTTCATTAAAATCGGTTTAGCCGTTTTGCAAGTGTGACGAGAAAAAAGTTATATACTTTTAAAACGCGATAAATATTAGTTAAATTTATTTGAAATATGTTTAATTAATATATATCGCGTTTTAAACGGTTAAAGTGTTTTTATTAATTTTTTTTTTTTTTACGTTAATACTAAGAATACTCTGAGGTATGATGTATTGTAGCTATTCTACCTGTAAATCTACGATAATATATAAGTGAAGTTAAAATACATAATATCGTGTGGGATCTTATATTAAAAATTTTAAGTACTAGGGTATGTGAAGGAGTCCATAGCAACAAAAACGTGCTCAGAATCAAAGATACATACTTGAAGAGTATTTTCGCACACTTAGTATTTGATGCAAGAGACTAGATTACGTTAACACTAGTGTAGTTAATAATAAACTTTCAGTTACGAGTTAGCAAACTAAAGGACGGACACAAGGACCACCGATTTATGTGTACCTTGTTTGAAAGTAATCACGCATTTTTTGTTAACGGCTTTTACCAGAAAGAATCAAGCTATAAGTAATATTGTTATATTAATAATATTGTTAAATTGTATTTTTTTGAAACTTACTTCTTATGAAATAAAAACTAACGGTTTAAAACACGATATATAGCAGTTAAACTTATTGGAAAATTATATTTAACTTCGGCCCGACGTTTTGGATGCTTTGCAACAGCCGTAGTCACGCGCAAGTATTGCGCTTTAAAGTGTTCAAATGTTTACTACTCTCGTAAACTACAGACAGTATTTTTTTTTACAAGGATTCAAACAAAGGACCCGAGCCCGTTGTGACGTCATAACTTACTGCTGCTGCTCTCTCGGCGCTCTCCACATGAACTCTATACAGATCCACCAAGCTCAACTCCTCTGGGTCCACGGCTTCCGCGCCACGACGGGGCACCAGTTCCAAAGCAAGTTTTCTGCAACAATGTGAACAAGTCTTTAGGCACGAGGAAAATGTACTATACGTGATCCATAACTCGTTCCACCATTTACTTGAAAAACCACAAACGGTCATTCATATTATATATTCATGACTACTAAATGGGCTCTATATACTAAGAGGAAAAAGGCGATTATACGAAAAATAGGCTGACGGCACATCTTGTTGAGATGTAACATGACTGGGGCATTTCGTGGGCGGTCTCAACCGTGAAGTTAAATAGCGTTTCGATTTTTGTCTGTGCATTAACGATTATTCAAAGCCAAGATAGGCCGACAGCGCATCTTGTTGAGATGTTATATGGTTTAGGTATTTCACCTTCATAAAAGCCCACTTACTTTCGCCTCAAGGACTTGACTATTAAAATTAACTTCGTAGCTTCTTAGTGTAATAAAACACTAGAATCAACAATGAGAAATCTGTTAAGACTGGAAATTGATCGGGAACCGAGCGTTACGTGCTGGTGATATAACCAATTGAACTACTGTGTATTTAAATAAGTCTCCTCGTGACCACGGCTGCTGCAAAGCATCCGAAACGTCGGGCGGAAGTTAAAAATCATTTCCAAATAAGTTTAACTAATATAACGCGTTTTAAACCGTTAAAGTGTTTTATTTAAATGTGTACTACTCACGTAAACTATAGACAGTATTTACGGTGTATTTTTTCATATAAATATATTTTCAATTGATTTAATGTAACTTATTTAATAACTGTGCACTGACATGTGAAAAATATAAAGTTTTTAAATACCTACTCGATTCACAGCGACACACCGTTTAGAAAGGCTTTACCGAATCGCGATTCCACGTAAAAACTCTACCTGTGTACAATGCAAATGGCCTGTGAATTGTGAATCAATAAGGGTTCCAAGAACTGAACGCTCGCCGGATATATGAAATTACTAAAGAAAACGAGTCGGAGACTATTGAAAAAAGTAAGTTATAGAAATCTAGACTTGTCCCGCGGTGGTATCATCGTTATTAGAATTAGAGGTGTATGTATCAATAAGTTGAAAAAAATCGACGATGAGGTGTGGGACTCGGTAGCTAAATTAGTAGAGTACGGAATGACGATGCCGGTTCAAATTCTGCCCGAGAAGATTTTTTTTTTAATTTAAATTTTACACATATATACATTTCACATGTTATTGCACTGTATATTTTAAAATTGTATAGTGCAATAACATGTGAAAAATATTAAGCTTTACTTATACCAATTAAATTTTGAATTCATATATTTGTGTTGAAATAGTTATTCAAGCTGTAAATATAGTACTATATAGTAGTAACTATACTATATATCCTCTGTAGTTTACAAAAGTAGTACACATTTAAATAAAACATTTTAACGGTTTTCAAGCATCCGAAACATCGGGCCGTAGTTAAAATAAATTGTAAATAACTAATAGGTACATTGCGTTATAAACCGTTTAAAATGTTTTACTTAAATACTTAAATTTTCTTTAAGTGTAAACGTGTTATAATTAAATAACAACATGTTAGAATTATCTACGTCTTTTTAAGCTTTATGCATCCTTACTATATATAATATTATAAATGCGAAAGTAGCTCTGTCCGTCTGTGTGTTACTCTTTCAGCTAAAACTACTGAACGGATTTCAATGAAATTTGGTACACAGATGGTCTAGACCCTGAGAATAGACATAGGCCACCTTTTATTGCAAAAAGGGGGGATGAAAGTTTGTATGGAAATTCGTGGTTTTTGAAGCTAGAACAATGAAACTTTCTTCTTTAGGAATAGGAGTGAGAGTTAGAGTATGAGTGATGTGAGGTGAGGGGTGCGGCAAAGTAGCACTTACAACATAGATTGGCTACGATAAATGCGGAATTACATAAATTAATAAACAGCCTAAATAATTAAAAATTCTACCCCAAGTCACTATTCCACGCGAACGAAGTCGCGGGCACAGCTAGTATATATATATATATATGTTTTAAACGTTGCAATTTGCATATCACAGCCGCTAATAATAATCACAGGTTTAAAACCAATCGCAGACGATTTGGCTGTTTAGATAATCGGTCACGTAACAACCGTTAAAACAAGCTTTCAATCACGTCGAGTATTGGCTTACACTCACACCCGTAGAGGAATTACGGCCGTAAAGTGTACGAAATAGGAGCTAATTTGTAATCCAGGTGTAATAGAATAAGTTATTAGCTTATCAACTTTAGATAATTCTAAAAGTATATGCTTGAATATCATAAGAGATATTTTATATCATCTGTATAGCACCAGTGCGTCGGAAAGCACGTTAAGTTCTGAAGACTGGAATGGTGGGTTCAGAGACTTGTGCCCAGAAGTGGGACAAAAGGTTAAATTGATCTACACAGAAAATTATGTGAACAGTATTTTTTGATTAACTAAGCTATTTGAGGCCATTTAAAATATTAAAAATATTTTTTTGGCAAATATTACAAACATACCTGCATAGATAGATTATTTGAATAACAATACCAGTTTTCAATGATTCAAAATAAAAAGTTAATATTACATCGATGAACTAGACAGAAAATATGTGGCTAACATCCGAAAGATTGATCGACGTGTCAGCAAACGCTGTTGGGACAGAAAGGTCACGAAACCAGTTAGTGAGAGCTGGTATAGCCCTAGAGAATAACTGACTAATTTGAACTACATCACAATTAGCACTTAGTTGTGGCATTGTTCAATTAACGTAAAAAGGTCCTAAATTCATTTTGTATGCAGATTCAGTAAAAATATTACAGGATTCACACATATGTATTAAAAAAGTGATGCTTTTAAAAGTTCATTTATTGTTGAAATAAAAACTCATGATATAAGAGATAACCTGCACTTTTGGTTAAACGTGTTACCAAGTATTACACACAAGAAGTCCCGAATTCGGGAAATAATAATGATAACAAGCCCATTTGAAGAACTACTCGTCTGTAAATAAAGTCAAACAGTGAAACGGACATAGAATTGCGTTCGCCCGATGGCACATTTAGATTATAGTTAAGGGAACGATAAACCAAGTAGGGAGGAGAGACATTTAATAGCCGTAAGGATTTATGTATGAAAATATTAATACCTGAATTAATTATCAAAAGACTTCCAAGTCGATATATAAGTAAAATTTTATAAGGCTACCCGCACAAAACCGAACGCAGTCTCTCTCATACAATCCAATATTAAGGAACGAGATGACAAATATAGGTAGACGTCAAATGTTTTTTGTTTGGCTATTATATACATTAACATGCTGATCCAGCTGTCTGATGCGATCAGCCAAAATCAAGTTTTGCAGGTGCGTACGGCGCATCGAACTCGGAGCCTTTGTGACTATTTATCAATATTTGATTATGTTTCACGGTCTTGGTTATTATGGAGGAGAACTCGAAGTGGCTATAGAGTCCATCGTAGTCAGTATACGCTGTTATATAAAGCTTATTACCACATGAATTCAAAGCTATCTTACGATAAATTATACGAGTGTTGTCTTTTTACCTTAAAAAATCGTTATTTACTATAAAATAATAATATGTTTTCCTATGACAAAATTTGATGTTAATTTCTATGCTCTTCGATTACATAATGAGTTAGTAGTTTTAATAAATTAAATTGAATAATAAACACTGAACGTATGAATTAAGTATTTTTCCCAAGTTGTGGATACGGATTACGAATCGACATCCACAAACAGAAAAACCCTGAAGTAGCTATCATCCGGTGTCCGTCTGTGGATCTACGAACATCAAAACTCAGTATAGACCGACAGTGCATCTTGTTTAAATGTTACATGGTTAAAAAAATGGTATTAAGTTATCTATTAAGTGAATTCTTTGCTTGTCTGCTTTCATCTGTAAAGTAAGCACAAAACTATCGCTTCCCATAACTATGATCCATTAGTAGTTTCAACACCATTGTTAGATGAAAAGATATGATCGATTGACGAAAAGTAACATGTGTGGGTTGGGCAACATTTCAATATGTGCCTTCTATTGAATAAAGTTAAAAGGTCAATTGTGTTAGAGGCAATGATAGAAGTATGTCGATGTATGACAGTGATACTAGCATCTAATTATAGCAATCCAATCACTAGGAAGACCGTGAAGACTCCTAGATGGCAGTCCTGATGGCCGAAGGAAACGTGGCAGGCCAAAAGACATCGAGACGGCACTTATGTAAGTCCAGAAATTTGAGTCGCTTAGCAGAAGATAAGGCGATTTGCAAGGTCCATGTTAGATCAGGCCAAGGCCCAAAGTGGCTGTAGTACCACATAGATATATAGAATCACTGCGCAATGTTAACGCTTATGTGCATCATTGGTTAAAGAATTGCATTTAGCACAAAGTTCAGGGTTGGAATTCCGGGGCAAAATAACATGTAACTCTTGGTTTGGCGTGAAAGTCTGAAGAATTGCCTGTAAATAAGCGGTCAGTTGAATAGATACAAAATTTTTGCTGTTATGAATGTTACATTGAAAAGAATAATCGAAACTAAATAGAAATAGCGATATCATTACACAAGCTTTTGTACTCGATAATTATATCCGCCTCTCACTTAATACCACGGTGTTGAAAATTGATTAAATATCGCTAGATTCCCACTTCTGATAAAGTACAGAACATAAGCGCGTCATGTTCCAGTTATCCTATCGGGATAAAAAAAACCGGAATGTACTTTTAAGTATCTTTTTCATAGTCTTACTAGTTATAATTTACTAAATCTTTAATCCTGTAAAGGAAAATAGTAATTTATATCGATGATTCAGTATAGGTAAATGCTAGTAAGTTTTAAAGTGTAAGTTAAGGAGTGTGTAAAAAGGCATTATATTATTTTCCATGTTATAGTAGTACCATACAGTAATATTCTGAATACTGTCTGTAGTTTACGCGAGAATTAAACACTTTAATGGTTTAAAACGTGAAATATATTAGTTTAACTTATTTGAAAATTATTTTTAAACTTCGGCGTGACGTTTCGGATTCGGTGTTTTGCATTTGCAAAAGTATTTTTTTAAATGCAATATTCTGAGTTAAAATTTTGTTGTGTACTACAAAACAAAACTCATTGCATTTGAAATTTTGAGGCAAAACTTACCTACGTCTTTATCGTTCTAGAATTATTTCAACACTCGCTTCTGAGACTTCGCTTAGTACGATAGTAAAAAGTACAAAGGCAGGTAAAACAAGGATTAAAGACAAAAGAAAAACCGAGTTTACCTGAAACTGATAACAAACGAAGTATAACAATATACCGCGGCTAATCTCGTTTAAAAAAACTGTTTTTGGATAATTTAACTGAATTATTGTTATTATAATAATTTAGTACACCAATTATATGATAGTAAAAACAAAATTATATTCTGTCATTGTATGCTAATAATGATTGACACGTAACGATGAAATTTAAAATGCAGATTAACTTTGAATTAATATGTTTTTTACCCTGGTTTACTTGTTAATAAACGTGTATTTTGCTTATACTGGTTCTTTTCTATGATAAATTTAATTATTCTTTATTAACATTCTCTGATAGAAGAATATAAAACACCTTGTCTAGTTCATATTTAAGGAATATAAAACTATGTGCGTTTGATCCTTATTCAATTAATAAGCTATTTCATTGCGGATCTCCAAATTCTCCGATACAGCGAGTGCGATTTTCTTTTATTTTTCGAGTCTCGTTCAGCAGGTAGATGCCCGCATGCCTAGCCAATGACAGGGCACAGGCATAGCGGAGCTCACAGAGCATAGAGGCATGATGAATAGTGACGCATAGAAAAAGCAAAACTAAATTTTAACCAACTGCGTGGGAAAGTTATGTTCATATCGTAGTTTTATTAGAGCGCAGCTTAAATTATTATTAGTAAGAAATGCTCGTTAGTGTACTGTTAATAATCGACGAGTCTTGGGTTCTATACATACCTGGCCCTACATACTTCTAAACCATTTATATTTTTTCTGGAACATGTTCGGATAGCGCATCTTATTTAGATGCTATAGGCTGGAGTATTTCAACTACCACCAAGGGAGCCCCATGCTTGTCTATCCCCCTCTATCATTAAAAAAACATCGAAAATATTCTGAATCCTAATTTTCTATGTAACATAATATAGCCACAAGTGCTGTGGTAAAAATGATAAAAAAAATCTTCTAAGTATCATCGAACAGGTATAACGAGGCCGCTATTACGAAAAACCCAACATTCCACAGTTAAATAACAATCGATTAATAATTCTATTACCATTAGTTAAGAGAAATGAATAGTACTAATATCTCACGGCTGACATAACGCACAACAAATAATGTGTTAATTAAAAGCCTCAAGCATTTCCACCCGCTAAAACCAGTAATCGTGAACGCGGTAAAAAATCAGCGGGATTCAAAGTAATGGTGAAAACGCAGCCGAACTCGTTTCCCAATGAATTCTCGACTCTGATTTCTGACTACTGTGCATTTACACGGGTCGGCATTAGAAAGGGACGGGCGACGCCGCTAGCTACAGGCAGGTGCGCGCGCGAGCGGGACAGATATAGATGCGCGCGCGCCGCTCGCTTTGTTCGGTAGTTGCGAGTCACAGGAGGTCGATCGAGTGCGCTTTTCAGTTCCAGTTTGTATCTCGACCCGCAAGCAGCTGGCGCGCGGTTGGTACGAACCGCCGCTGTTGCCACTCGTTTTACTCGAAATTATTCAATCAACCCTTCCCTCTACTCTGAACAGTGTTATCACATGTGCGATAGTGAACGCGTCTGTGCCTCTTGTGTAGTGGTTTCGACGAATCTTCGCGGCCAAATTAACAGTTACATTTGACGGTAAGTTATGCCAGAAAAGCTCAGATGTATTGGGACGCGCTTAGCATTTATCGGCGTCGGAATGCAGTTTGACGGCAAACGTGAGCATGTGCAGGAACAAAAGCCTTATGCACAGTCATCGAGCCTCTTTTTTCCGCTTTCACGAGAGCAAGGCTCGTTAGGCGAGCGGCGACCGATTTCGAGTTATGAATTAGAACTTGTTACGAGGTGTCAAATGTTTCCAACTCACAGGTAGCGTCGCCCCTCTTTACCTGAGGGTTGGGGACGCTATACCGGGGTAGAAATCAATGAAGTAATAATAGTTTAAAAGAAAAATAACACGTGAATCTTTGTATTTATGACTTGTTGTAATCAACGTTAAGGAAACACCGAGACATGTCTTCAACTTGAAAGGCGCGATGTTTATGATCCATAAAGATTTATCGTCATGCTAATGCCATTTATGATTACTGTGATATAATTACAGCTATGTTGGGGTACATACTTAGCTTTTTGGGATTATTTAGTACAAACGTCATTGAAACGTGTGTCCTACTAAATCCTACCTTCAAAATTAGCACACGATTTCGACAAGTAATTAATTAAGTTATCATACGGTGTAAATAGGTTATCGAGTCTTGACCGTTGGGTTTTTTTGTATTCCACAGGCAAACATCAATATTAAAGACGTTTAAGATATCGCGTGAACTTAAGAACTACTTACGCAATGATTCACAAATTACAATAATTAAATACATATTACAAAATTGATAGATTATTTGGTTATTGTTGGTTAATATTGGTTAGATTTAATGACATAACAGTTACTTTTGCAATAAGCTACAGGTTCGGTAATGACGATGAATAAGTTATAACTTTCTAGTGAATAAAAACTAAACAGGTATAGATTTGAAGAGCATGACGCAATCTTTCGTTTTTCTTAGACAATTGCGAGGATTTACTGTTAATCAATATATGAAGCACTGTTGGGTATTTTACTGTTAAGAAACGATTCTGAATATTAGAACCTTAAATACCTACATTCTTAAACTCCTGCGCATCATCCAGTATTTAAGAACTACCACTGGTTTATCTGCATCGCAAAGTATGAGGAAAATGGTTTATAACTCAATAACGAGTCATAAACTTTCCAATCGTGCTCATTTACTTTATAATGAATTCGTTTTAATATTGTTGGCTCAGGTTTAAGCCAATATCTTTCATTCAAAGAACTGCATTGCTTCTCCCGCATTCACACGAACTAGTATAGCAACAGAATTGTTGATAAACAATCACTGCCAGCTTTACCAGCCAACCTGCATACCTTAACAGGTCACACTCATTGAATTTCTGTCACGCTGTATGGCCACTACCTGCATGGTAATTGAACAACACGATAACCCCTATGTCATGGTTTTATGATATTCTTAGAAGCAAATAGACGTTTAAACATTTCTTGTTTGTCTAGTCAGTCATGCTGTCCTGTTTCGATTTTAAGAGACTTAGATATCGATGCGCTATGAGTTTTTAAAAAGCATTTTTCGTTTGCTCCTAATGTATATTTACTTAAATTATTAATATCCTATATATTTACTTTTATATTATTATATCTATGTAATATCATCTATTGAGTGAATGGTTTTAATTTTTAGTCGGTTATTTTTAATATTGATTAAGTTAATTTTCTTTACGAGCCAAAGCATCCGCGTAGACTTCCAAAATTAATGTAGCCGTCATATATATGGCTCTTTGATAAAATGTGTTATTGGTGACTTCATGAACCACTGTTGTCTCATGTCACTAACAGCGCTCCAAATTCTCAAAACATGCAAAGTATGCCACAAGAACAAAGCGGTACCATATGATCCGCTGAACTGAAACAATCGAGAAATAGTAAATAGTTCTCATCGCGTATTCCACGCACGTGGTATCAATTAACTGAACAAGTTTCGCTGCGTACGCGTTTTGTTTACCAATCCGTTGTATCTTTGAACTTAATGATAAGTGATAAGGAATTTTGCCGTGACCTTAGGAGACACTGAGACGTCCACAAGGAACATTTTAATTAGCTGTATGTTTAAATAAAACACTAACGGTTTAAACCACGATATATATTAGTTAAACTTATTTTTAAATGATTTTAACTACGGCCCGACGTGACTACGGCAGCTACAAAGCATCCGAAACGTGGGGCTGTAATTTTGAAATAAGTTTTACTAATATAACTTTATTTAAATGTATTATACTCATTGCATCTGTTATGACATTTTATAAATATCTCCATTTCAAACTTCCTCGTTCTGTCATTTAATATCAGCAATCAATGAATCTGTCCTGACATTGTAAAGTGAATCCAAGCCGTCTACCGTAACCGCAATCCCGATGCGTATTTCCGCACCACTTGATAATATCTCAATGACAGCATAGGAACGCCGGATACAGTGACGAACACTTTATCACTGCGCAGTGTCATAATTATTGTGATCGAGCTCCGAGCGACGCTCCACATGTTACCATAAGGAGGTAAACAAAGTGGAACGGATCGGGCGACGGTCAATAGAAGTTAATTATATCCACGTTACGGAGACGCTCAAACTATTGTCGGTGCGATGAGTGTTAGTGAAACACAATGAACAGTTACACAACTGATGGGTTTTTGTTTTGATTACAAAGACAAAGTAATCTATAAGTCAAGGCGACAGAGCTGAATAATTTAATTGAACGGAGGAATTTGAATTAAGACATTCATTGCAATTGAACAATTACCGATGAGATTTCATGTGACTCCGCTGATCATGCGATATGTAATAGTGGACGTCGCAAGCGCACAAGCAATTACACATCATTGAGATCCGAGGCAGACGCGTGCCTTGAGACCAGTTGACTTTATTGCTTACATCTTAGGTTACGTGCTGTTATAACTACGGAGAATGGTATGTTTAAATTTAATACGCGATACTTTTTTAACGGTTTAAATCACGAAATACATTGGCTTAGGCGGTCGTCAAGTGGTCACCATAACAACAAATAATACTTAAATAAACGATGATTATAAACTGAGAATATGCGGATGTCACTAAACTCCTTACCCCACGTCTACGTCAAAACCGGAACGCTAGCTGTTTACTTAAATATCAGTTAACATGACAGATAAGATAAAACCTAATGTATATCAAGTACATGCAGAACGGTTAAGACTGGTTATTATAAGTTCCGAGAGGCATAAAGCATAAAGAAATTCTCGGCGTAACTAATTAAGAACAAGTCATGTCGTGATTGCGGCACGACGCGACGGCGGGCGACGTGCGAAACGAGTAAAGATTGTCGCTGTTTGAACTGGTTTCCGCGTAAAATTCGCGTTGCCACGCGGTGCATCGGTCCGCCCTGAGAAGGTACCGGAGGCGAGGGGAGGGGACTCTTGAGCGCAGGAGGCGAGCAGCGGTCGGTCGACGACCCGCTCGCCCTGCGCGGGCGCACCATTCGCCTTCAGCGGTTCCTATTCTAACACTTTAAACATGGCCACATTAACGAATTTATGATCCATAATCGGCATCACAAACATAGTTAATGATGTAACTCGTGTTGTTCGTATCTTTGAGTTGATGTTGGCGCGATTAGCATCAGGTTTCCCAACTTCTTACACGAGCCGATGATTTGCGAATAAATAAATTGAACGCGTATCAGCAGTACACGTTGGATACCAGACACCGCGTAGGAACAGGATCCAGAAGCATTCAAGGCTGGATCTATTTATGACGATTTGATTGTAAGATTGTCCTCGTCCATTCAAATCGGACTCCCTCACCTGAACAATTACATGTTAGAACTTCGAAACTTTAATTACCGACGAACCGGTTGTGGGTACAGAAAAACTATTTACACAAAAAGCGTGAGACCCAATCGTCGATAGTGCGGCGTAGGCGTGAGGTAGCCGAAACTTTGAATTATGAGGTCATTGATTGAAGATCTCATCTGGTACGAAACGGTACAATTAATGCAAAGACGGTGTTATCTTACTTCGATCGCATAAGATTGAAATTGGAAAATCTTACGCCGCGATAGCGATAAAACTTAACGTATTCGAAATTAACGGAATGGCACTTGTCGCAAGCGCGACACCGATTTAGACGGATTTATTTTTGGTATGTTGTTACTGTAACATAAACTATTGTTCCCCTTACATATTCTCTTACTCTTTGCAGACTATGCTTTAATAAATGATACACAAATACATTATCGATAACTAGCTATGCTAGCGACTTCGTCCGAGCAGAATTGTTATTTTGTGCATTATTCTTTCATACATATTTTTTTGGTATCTTGAACCGTTTTCACATCGCACGCAACGGAAGAGATGAATACATTTTCGGGTTCTTTCTCATTTCCCACTGTATCTTTGTTTCTATTAGTCGCATTGCAATGTTGTAGCCTAAAACCTTCCTCGAACAATGCTCTAACCAACACAAAAATATTTTTTGAATTCGAAGCAGTATTTCTTGAGATTAGCGCGTTCACAGAAACAAACTCTTCAGCTTTATATATTAGTATAGATAAAGATGATTTACAACCATGACAATAGTAAGATTAGTGCGTGATAAACAGTATACTCTCTTATCTCGTAATGTAATTTTTTCTTTCAGAATTGACACGAATCTCATAACAAGATGGCGATCTTCGGCATGGCGTCCGCGGTGGCGGGCTTCGTAAAAGTCCGCTACCTGATAGACAAGGCTGTCATCGACAATATGGTGTTCAGGATGCACTACAGAATCACCTCAGCCATTATGTTCCTATGCTGTATACTTGTTACGGCTAATAATCTCATCGGTAAGTTTACGTCTTTAAAATCTAACTCCTGATACCGCTAAAACAAATTTACGGAATAACTCTAGGTTACGAAATTCAAACACAATGAACACTTTGAGATGAAATATTACTTAGACCGGTTGCGGAATTATTACTGAAATTGCGCTGCAAAATAGTTTTAAATGTTTTTCTACCTGAAACACTTTCTGATTACGTCACTAGACTGTACCGCAATTAATTTCTCCAACAGAGGCTAATTAAGACCTCTTTACAGCTTCTTACGGTACACAATAATTACTAATTAGTCCCATAACGCCCACAATAGCACACTCGCAACTTAGACCTTAGAAAACCGGCACGATATGTCTGCCGCGTAACAGTGAAAATGACTCATTTTCAGTTTCCCATTGAGATGTAACAGTTACCCAAATCGAGACGTCACGAGCGAATTGCTTGTACACACAAACATTGTAACGTGCCAAGTTTAAAGCCATCGATACGATTCGGGCCAGTGAACCATTGCATCGCAATTGACCTTTCTCGGGCAATGTTGAGCAATTTGGGGCAATTTAGGATTACAATACGATAACATACCTAACCCGTTACTTGCTTTACTCGTTAAGGATTGACAGCATTTCTCCGTTTTTTGTTCCCAACATGTCAAGAAGTGGGTCAAGTACTAGATGCCAGCGGACGAAATGATGGCTTCAATTAATGCTAATTTATAATGGTCTATGTCCATTTGTGGAGTATTTTCCTATTAATATTCAATTTGTGGCGAAATTATGCTGCGTTGTGCTTGTCAATACAGTAAAAAATACTGTAGAATCTTACTACTTTTAACTATATCTATGTTTTCTTTGACATATATTTTAATAACCAAAGGCTGCTTCAAAGCATCCGAAACGTCGGGCCGTACATAGGCATAATAATTCGTAAATAAGTGTTCCTAATACGTTTCGCGTTTTTAAACTTTTGTAAGTGTTTTATTTTAATGTGTATCTACTACTCGCATAAACTGCAGACAGTACAAATTTCTCAAAAGGAAATTAAAAACCGTTTCAAAAACTACAAATTGTAATACAAAACTAAAATATTCTGCTAAGACGGAAAAAGTTATTGCTAATAAAAGAACATATCTACTAAATAGCGGTAATATAATAAAATCTATTATGATCTTAGTCAGATTACATCATATAGAATGAGAACAAAGTACACATTAACTGCATAGTTGCGTTTCGTGTCTAGCCAATACGTTTGCAAGTTGCTACCCAGGTGGTTTTAATCGCAATGATTCAATAACAATGGTTGCTATCAGGGTTTTATTACTAGCCTTTAAGTCTACTCTCTTTCTTTGTAATGAAACAAACATGAGTTAGGATAAAATATTATTTATATACAATTACTTTGCAGCTCTAATAACCACTAAGTATATTAAATCACTGTTTTCAAGGGAAACCCATCGCAGCATAAATGCCATATGGCTACATTTTAAATATTTTTCCTTCTGTTTTTGCGGTCTCAAAATATTGTATTGATCAAAATTACTATTGAGCATTTAAATGCAGTTGTGAAAAAAATTTATTCTCAAAGCTCGGGACGCTAGGATCACCATAATTAGAAATCTTAGCTGCTTTTAGTCTGTTTTGTTTTTAAGGCACCAAAGCATATTATTATCTTTGAAAATCACTTCTTTGAATTAATTGTATAAATTCGCTTCAGTTTCTCTTTCGTGAAAGTTTTTTTTTGATTCAGTTTATATTGAAAATGTTGAAAGAAACACGATATGTATTCTTTAATTGTCTCAATTTGAAACAATGACATTTTTAAACGAGTAACGGCTTTGTTTAATAACAATATATTTACCGTAATAATATCTGCCAAGCAATATCAAAAGCAAATAAAACATTATTAACATCTGAAAACTTTAAATACATATATTACTTCATTCGCCCTTATTTCCCCCATGATCAAGTATGCCGTAAAATTAATATTACGTTTATAGTTAAAATTTATTTAACTATATATTTCGCGTTTTAAACCGTTATTTTTTTAAATGTGTAACACGAAGCAAGCGCCCGCAAAGTAATAAGCTAACAATACTTTATGGAAACATTATATAATAAGCGGAGATACTTAATTTTTTACCTGCCCGGTACCTTTGAGCTTAGTCATAACCCGTCTTGATTTATTGCTCCAAAATTCTGGGTTAACCGACCGCAGGCTTTGTCAGACATTGCAACATATTCGACAATACTTTGTACATATTTTTACAAGATGTCGTTTCTGGGCAGAATTTAATCTTGAGACATCACCTGTTATTTGTAGGTAATGAATATTTATACAAGTAAATGATACGAATTTAAATTAGGACCCACAAAAGTTTGGAAAGGAGCAAGTTTATAAACATATAATATGAATTTTTAGCAAGAAATAGCTTTAAACGTTAACTTGCTACTACAGGTGAACTATCAAGAGTTTGCCGTGACCTAGTATGCGCGTTTACGCTTTTAAATGTTCAACTTTATAACCAAAGCTAAAACATATACGGTATCTTTATGTATAAATAACGTATATACAAATGAGTGGCCTTGTCTGTTATTATATCCAAGTTTAAAATACAGCACAACTTATTAGTATTTTTTGCGTGTCTGTTTTCCACTACCATAGTAGGAGTGTCGCTCTTTAACCAGTAATTAATTATGGAATTAAAGGACGAAATAAATAAAGCTGGGTCTAAACTAGAACAAAACCGGGTGCAAAGCCAAAATAGATCGACAACGGATCTTATAGAGATGTTATATGGCTATGATAGTTCACCTTTCAAGTAAACACCGTGCTTATCTTACCTTCTATCGTAGAAAAACACTTTTAACGGTTTAAAACGTAACGTGTATGTATTTATTTTAAAAACTACCCTTTAAAATTGTAAAGTACACACATTACAGTATTTAGTATACATGTAGATAACAACCATAAGAAGCGAACAGTAATGATATTACTAATGTGTAATGACCTATAAATATATAACTTGTATTGTCTGTTCATAATTGATTTCCATTTAAGGTCATATAATTAAGTATACACCTGTTGAAGCAAAATGTACATGTAACTGTTTATTGAACAAGTTTTTAATTGCATTTTAAAACGATAAACATTTCAATAAAACACTTAAACGGTTTAAAACGCAATATATTATATTAATATATCGCGTTTTAAACCGTTAAAGTGTTTTATTGAAATGTGTACTACTCGTGTAAACTATAGACAGTGTTTAACGATAAACATATTAATGTATATATATCACATTTTTAATTTTTATGAATAGACTTCTTTTTATGTCACAGTAACTTTAATACTTTACAACTTTTACTAGCATACTACAAATAATGTAATTTAAATTGTAAAAGGTAATTTGTCTTAATGTAGATTTACAATACTAAATACTGAACTGCGTATGCGTTAGTTTAGTTAAGAAACATTAACGGTTCGAAATGTATGATATTTTTATTTATTTTGCGTTTAAAACCGTTTTTTTATATGAGCCATACAAAGTCTAGATGCGCCGTCGACCTATTTTGGCTTAGAATATTGAAAATCCATGGACTGAAACCGAAACGCGATTTAACGTACGATTTTCACCTTTCGTAGGTTCGTAGCCCGGACTGAATTTCGATATTCCTACCCATTTAATATTCACATTTTCAGACGATATCCATGTTTCAAAAAGCTATAAATGTATTAGTGTTGGACCCAGCGGGGATCAAAACAAGACCCGTTGATTATTAGCCATACATTGCTACTATTACAAGCCTGTCTTTTAAATAAAACACTTTAACGGTTTTAAACGCGATATATTAGTTAAACTTATTTGAAAATGATTTTTAACTTCGGCCCGACGTTTTAGCATACCGGCAAACGCGAAGACACCGTTAGTCAATTCCGTAAGGACCCGGCCAGTTTCGCCAAATACCAACTTCGACGGAACAGATGGCATTAGCGCAGCAATTTTTTACTTTGACGTCAGATACATCCTCCATCTTTAGTCTCCCCGTGGCCACGGGCCGAAGTTAAAAATCATTTTCAAATAAGTTTAACTAATATATCGCGTTTTAAACTGTTAAAGTGTTTTATTTAAATGTGTACTACTTGCGTAAACTATAGACAGAGCCTGTCTTTTTTTTCCGGAGTAAATTCAAGACTCTATCTATTCACCAAACGGTCCATTGATATTTCGTCTTGCACATTGAATCTAATTAGATGCTAAGTGCTCTAACTACAGTAAATTGTTGTTATCGAGCAATTAGAGCTAGTTGCATGTGACTTGGACACCCGACTTCGTCTTATTAATACAGTATTGCGTTTCCTATATTCCTTAGGTTACATGTCATTCTTAGTTGGATGTTAACTATTGTAATTAGTATTAAAGGTTGAATATCTCGTGGCCATTGTAACTAATCCATGAAATGCAATCCAAAACTTACATACATACGTATTTCTTCCCATGGTATCTTTGTTTTTTTAAGAGTCTTATTAACGTCTGGTAGTCTATAATAATATAAATTACACTCCCTGTATGACAACAAGTTAATACAGAAGATAAATTATCCACATTTTAAGAAAAATCTTTTATAAATTGCTTATGGAGTAACCATGACCTGTAGGTAGCAGCAGCACGGAACGCTGTGGGTGCCGGCTCAAACCCTGCTCGTGTCGTAAATTTGTTTCAATATAAAATCAGCTAAAATAGAACTTCAAGTTAAAGTTTTAAACATATCTTATTTAAAGAATTTTATTTTAATAATATATATTGCGTTTTAAACCATTAAAATGGTTCATTTAAATGTGTTACCACTCGCGTTAACCACAGACAGTAGTTTATAAACTCGATTTTCAATTTATATAATGCCGTCATGAGCAAAAAAAATTGAATGTTTTCAATGTTTTCAAGCTTTTCTTGCTTGAACCTTTCCCGAGTGATCATCACTTGTTAGCTGTATGTTAATCTCACACCATTTTTTTAAATACGTTCGAAAAGGCGAGTGTTTTCAATTGTAAACTTTTACTAGAATGTCCTAACGAGAAAACTAATTATGATATAAGTGTACAGCGTCATCAGCCAGTTGGATACAACCCATCAATGTCACAGCCCATATAATCACATAGCATACAATTCCGAATAAATTACAATCACTGTAAATACACTTAACTAGATACATAATGTATAATAGTTGGTAGTTTCCTACTTTTCAAAGGTTAGTTTTGAGTACTCTACACTATTTAACGTAACTAAGTAAATAAGTGCGCAGAGAACTTATATAAAATGACCAACGTGGAATTTTTATACTATACGTCAATGGTTACATGAAGTAAAAGTTATGCTAACTCTTATTACAATTGCTTAATGAAATTACAATCTTTAAAGGAATTGGCGTAAGTGTTATTTGAAACAACTATTGTTTCAAATTTGGAATACGGATTGAAAAGGGGCTTGTAAAGTTTTCGTAGAATCATTACAAAAATGTTATTAATACCTGATTCAAAAAGTAAGCAGGTAGCTTTCTATAGAAATAAATTTAGCATGTTTAATCATGTTTTGGAATATGCCGAGGAAGTGCATAATAGAAACAAACGGAGAACAGCCGTCTTGTCGGAGATTAAGAAAGTGACATCCCATTTTCCCTAGTGGGACATGGGGCGAACACATTTCCGTGTCCGTTACATTTCTGAGCCCTGGCCGACCGCAATCTATTGTTTTTGAGTTTTGAACACAGGGCTTCTCGCCCTTAACGCAATGCAACACAAAACGGGCCAAATTCTCTGTATCTCAGAGGTTAACTGTATCCTTAGTAGGGATAGAACAAGATGGTGGTCACGGCCGCGTTTGTTATGCAGGTAGGGGCAGATGTTATAATACAGCACCATTAACAGACATTAGTTCATCCGCAACGTTCACGGATGCGGTGTCGAGGGCGCGTGGGAAATTAAACAAGTTCAAGTGCAACGTTGTTTTGTATTGACGTCGTAATCTTTCTCTACATTTAAAAAAAATTAAAAAAAGATTACGACAATTTATAAATTAGATTTAGGACCGTGAGAATCGAACCCACGACTTGTTTATTTTATTAGTAATACATTGCCATTAAAACAACAGGCCCGAAACACATTCTATTTTCAAAATGTATTTTTGATGTAAAGTTTGTTTTTCATTGTACAACATTTTTTTATTATATGATTATTGTTATCTAACTAACAAATATTATGTCTCTGAAAAACTATATAAGGTCACACTGAGTTACGTACGAGTAACTATGAAAAAATCTCGTTAATAATCGTCAGACTTTTGTACTTTAACTAATTGCTATAGAACTACAATGAAAACGTTGAGATTTTTTTAAATAAACTACAAAGTATAAACCGTATTGCTTAATCCTTTGTTATCTATGACCTAATAAGTTATGTAACGCCCGGAAATTATTAAATGTTGATTACGACATATAAGAGAATGATATGCACCAATTTAAGTAGTATTCAAGTGTTGCTGTAACCTCTGGTCATTCCAGGTGACCCGATATCGTGCATCAACGACGGCGTGATACCCACCCACGTGATAAACACCTACTGCTGGATCACGTACACATTTACGCTGCCACACACCGAGCAGAAGGGCATAGCGCATCCAGGTCTTGGCAATGAATTCGGTGAAGAGAAGAGGCACCATTCGTACTACCAGTGGGTGCCTTTCATGCTTTTCTTCCAGGTAAGTTTCTTTCTACATAAGAGTTTGTTTACTTACACCATTTTCTTCGCCAAAAACCTAGTCATAAAGATCTCTTTTGATTTATATGAAGATTCTAAACAAATAAAAACAAAGACCTAAAATGGTGAGCCAATTTAACGTTTTGATTGTCTCCTAGGGGGTATTGTTCTATCTACCGCACTGGATCTGGAAGAACTGGGAAGAGGGAAAGGTGCGCATGATCTCCGATGGAATGCGAGGCACAATGGCTACCATTGACGACAGCAGGACCAATCGCCAGGTAATTTACTTGATTTATGTGGCACCAACACAAAGTATTTTGCCACAATCTTGCTATACACGTTTAACTGATGATGACTCTTACAGGCAAGTTGATTCTCGAGATTCTAGTCTTACTATTGTGCCCGACGCAAACAATCTCTTGTTTCTCCGAAATTCTGAAGACAGAACCTCTCGGTCTCAACAAAGCTAGGAAATTATTTAGCTACAGAGGACACACGGTTCCGCGTGTAAGCTATCATAAGTTGCCAATAAATTCAAAAATTCCTAACAGATAACGCTCGGCACACAATAACAACGCTGTCCTCGATCGTACATGAGCTATGTTAATGTGCTCTGTGATGCACAGACAGAAGTCTCATCAATTGGCGCAATTGAGATAAGGCTGTGTACTAATAAAACGCGATGTCCCTAATAATTGACCTCCGTATCGTCTCTTAGGTATGTCCAACATACCGACCGCCATACTGTACCATCTGACCGATAATGTTGCCACACTATAAGTAAATAAAAAAAAAAATATGTATTATAATGAATTCATGTGATCAATATTCATCAATAAATATCTTTGTTGCAGAGTCGTTTGGTCCAATACCTGCTCGACACACTCCATATGCATAATACCTACTCTTTCGGATACTTCTTCTGCGAAGTACTAAACTTTGTGAACGCTGTAAGTATTACATGCCTTAAATTTGTTTACAAGCCTACAGTAGAAAATATTTTTAAATTTTCATTTATCGTTTCCAGGTCGGAAACATATTCTTCTTGGACACGTTTCTTGGCGGAGCTTTCTTGACGTATGGTACTGATGTTGTGAAATTCTCAAACATGAACCAAGAAGACCGGACTGATCCAATGGTAATAAAATGTATTGAATTCTAAAGACTCAAACATTTGCAGCTGTTAAGTCAAGGATTAAGCACGTAGTGAAATGAATGAGAGACAAAGACGTTTCAACGTTTGTTAGATAAAACCGTGCCATCTCTTTCGTACTTAGTTGTATTAAATGATTATTATTTCTATGACACTACTATTTTTTTATGTCAACAGATCGAGGTGTTCCCAAGACTCACCAAGTGTACCTTCCACAAATTCGGAGCTTCTGGTACAATTCAAAAGCACGATTCGCTTTGCGTGCTCGCCCTAAACATTCTGAATGAGAAGATCTTCATTTTCCTCTGGTTCTGGTGAGTGTTTTACAACTGACCTTATAACTAATTTATCTTTACAATTAACCTCGGTTGGTTAATGCACTCCATAACAAAGGATATAAACGAAACAATGTTTCGGAGCAATTTATCACACTATTCGCTTAGTACGTTTTTGCTAATAATTCAAGAAATCCCAAGCTTAATTTCCGGAAATAGATGAGCCTTTATCTGCCAGGATCTCACTATCCAAAGGTTTTTGTACACTCAAAATATACCAGTCTTTACATATAAAAGCTGTTTAATTCCAGGTTGATCATCCTGGCCGTGGTGTCCGGTCTCGCCCTGGTTTACTCAGCTGCTGTGATCCTCTTGCCGAGCACACGTGAAACAATTCTCAAGAGACGCTTCCGATTCGGCACGCCTAACGGTGTCGAGGCCCTCGTTAGAAAGACTCAGGTATGCATACATAATTTTATGGCAAACAGATGACAATCTGTATATCTATGTTCTTTATTGTTTACCGATAATGTGTTCCTTTGTGTATCTTTAAATATCGACATACTTGTATTGTTTAGAAGGGACAGTATTTACATTATTATTCAAAAGTATTTCGAAACATTATTGCCACCTAACTAATCTTTTTCGATTTTTAGTCGTTAAATGTGTTTTATGTAGATGTCTACTTCTTAATATGGGTACGTTAATAAAAACTTTTACGTTTTAAAACCGATATAAACAACAATTATTTGAAAGTGACTTTTTACTTCCACCCCACGTTTTGGTTGTTTTCGTTAGTAGGGAAGTTATAAAATATGGCGTTTTATCCGTTAAACCGTAATTTTCCTTTAATGTGAGTAGCCTCATAATAATAATTTCAAAGAATCTAAATTAACCGTTTTTTAAATTGCAGGTTGGCGACTTCCTTCTTCTCCATCTACTTGGCCAAAACATGTCTCTCCGCGTTTTCGGCGAAGTATTAGACGAGCTAGCTAGAAGACTACACTTCGGTTCGAACCCACCGTCTGCGCCGTCTACCATAGAAATGGCTCCTATATACCCAGACATCGACAAGTTCTCAAAGGAAACCGAGACGTAAGCGGGTAGCTATCACACCCTTTCAACACAAAGGCTCGAGAGCATATTCCGAGAATAGTTTAGACTTAGAAATAACACCACTATTGCCATTCTAGAATATGAATTTGAGTCTTCGTAACAGATCTCGTTATTAATGGGTGTATCAATGTCCATCGTGCTAACTGCGTATGCGCAGTTAATGTACGCGAACTTTGCCTATTAGCAATCGAAGCAGAATCTATAATCGTAGCAACTCATGACATTCCTATTTTTACAAAGACAACTAACGAAGCCACGTATATTGCCTATAATGAAATAATTGGATGTTTTTTAGAGATTATTAAATTGAGCTGACTGTGTAATTGGACTGTGCGTGCGTAAATGTTATAAAAGACAAAACAGGTTGTTATTGACAAATTAGTGAAGCTCAATAGACAATATTACGAGCAGTGATAAGTATAATGGAATTGAAATATGTGTACCGTCTTATTCGCAATCGTGTTATAAGTCAACGCGATTTAGAATAACGCATACACAAAAATAAGGTGTAAGATTTATGTAGAGCTATTTTTAAATGATAAAAAACAAACGTCAGGTGAAGTACAAAATAGTGTCGTGGATGGGACCACGGATACATATGCTATGGATTAATGTGGCAAATACTTCGGGCATAATAACACCTTATGCTCTTAAAAATAAATATCATTTCTCAATATCCAATTAAGGTCCATAGCGCACGTTGGTATAGGACATCCTGACTTGCCTTATTGGGTGTCTTGAAGAATTATATTTCGATATTAGTTATAAGTATTTCGGTGCAAGTTGGTGTCAAAATATTATACTCGCGTTATACTCTAAACATTGTGCCATTGTAGAGAGAATTTCGGCGTAAAAATTATATGACCAGATGTGCATTTCGACAAATGTTCTGAACCGTTTAGGACCAATTTCGATTCGTTTAGACGTAAGACTTCTCAGTCAAATTAGCCATATATAAATTGTTAGATCTAGACTAAGCGACTTCCATGAATCTCGGCAATTATATCTTCCATGTTAATTTAGCATAATAAACCCCCAGTATAATTTACAGTTACTGTAGGAAATAGTATTATTTGCTATAGATGTAAATCGTTTTGTAAAATCTATATCATTCCTACTATAGCTATTAATGTTAGGAAGACTGTTCTTGTGAATTTTTATACGATTGTACACTATCTAGTTTTGGTTAAAATTTTCTTTTAAATAAAGTATATAAGAAATTGAGAAATGGTATTTTATTTAATAGCCAACAACCTGGCATTATATGTACAATTAATATCTGTATAAATATAGAATATGTAAGGAGACTACTGGGTAGTCAAGGTAAGTTATGGTTGGTATAAAAGTTTACGCGAGTAGTACACATTTAAATAAAACACTTTAACGGTTTAAAATCCGATATATTACGTGTTGTGAAATCAAGTTCAACTGGGCATAGGGCGAACACATTTTTGTGTCCGTTTCACTAGTCGTTTTATTTACAGGCAAGTAGTTGATCAGATCTCGTATGCCCTGGGCCCGACCGAAATAATTTACTGTTTCCCCGGGATTCGAACCAAGGATCTCTCGGCTTAACCAATACTAGGCAACAAGTTTAAGCTACAGAGGCGTCGTATGGCTGGCCCTATAGAAATTATCATTGATTAAGGTGTATTAATATTGTGCCATAAATTCGCAGTTTCAAAACAAATATCAATAAATTTAGCATACAAGCAGTTACTAATCACAAGAATAAGCATTAAAATTACACAAAGAAAACATTATAATATTAACGTTATTTAGAGTATGTAAAAATTTAAAAATCACTTAATACCAGATAAAAGCGCTCTAAATTATCACTAATAAAAAATAACCCCTAGCTTCTACTAAATGTGCATATTTTAAACTCACTTGACACACAAACTAGAGCGTGATAAATACTGTATGTTTTTTCATAACCACGCATTTAACATGTTAGAAAAACGATAATCCGAGCGAGACTCGAGCTCACGACTAGAGCAATTTTGAGCATTTTCCGACCTATCCTAGCTTTCAACATTCACAAATCCACAGACTAAACATTTATCGAAAAGTAACACACCGCTTTTCCATCTATTGAAAAGCTCCAGACCTTGACAAAATTCCTATCACCCATTTGATCTTTACGATGTCCAGACACTGGTCACTGTTAAATCGTTATTGACATGTTGGCCTCCGTGGACTCGAACCCACGCGCCATTGATATTGACCACCAGTTTAAGTAAAATTCACTTACCGATTACCCCAATCTAGTTTCGCGACGAGTTTCAGACGCAGCGCCCTGGTCTGGTCCTGCGTCAGGGTTCCGGTCAGCAATGCTCGTCGACCGCTCAACAGTTCACGCATAACCTTGGCTACGGCGCTGAACCTGTAGGTTTCTCGTTCCTGAAAATATTAATTACCTTACTTACTAACGTATACAATATACTGTTTCTTTGTTTGAAAGCGCTAATCTCAGGAAATACTGGTTCCAAACGATAAATTCGAACCAGTTAGATCTTGATGTGTTGGTTGGTTGGACCATTCATCCAGGACGGCTTTATGCTATAAAACATCACGCTGCGATCAATAGGAGCGAAAAAATAAAGGAAAGTTGTGAAAAAAAAGAGAATTTATTAATCTTTAAGAGATTTCGTGAGCGCTGCGAAAACGGTTTTAGAAACCAAAAAATGTGAATGATTTCTCCTCAAATTATCTAAAAGAATGTTCGCGAAATGTATGTTTATCTTTTTTGACGAAGTGGCGGGCGGAGTTACGTTACGTCACGTAAGGTATAAAGCAATTAAATAAAACAATTTTATAAATAAACGTAACAGTAAAGAAAATCTAGTATTTATTGAGTTCAAGGCGATCTTAGTCTAGAACTAGTTCATAGATTCAGCAAAATGTTTGTCATAAAATGATAATTTGCATTTTACTTGATAGATTATTTGCACAATTATACATTAACTATGAAACAAATACTGTATATTACCATAATGGGCTTAGTATTATATATGTTTTGTTTTCATAACATTCAGATAAAGAAGGCCTGGTTATGGATTCCCGAGAAATATCAATAGTTATAACAGTGAATAAGCTAGATGTAATCGTGAAATTAAAAAGTTATAACCATCTTTTGGGTCCTAGGAATATCAAAAATTGTGTCTTTTCTGATGTGATGTTATATGGCTAGTATATTTCACATTCCATTTCAGTACATTTTCTATATATAGAAACTAACCACATATAGCTTCTTCCAAAGACGGGCCCATTCTCTTAAAACGCAAGCTATTTCTCGGACTAGTGGGTCATCTTTTAATTCTGCAATAGCTGATAATCCTGTCCCTTTAACCGTACATGGTCGTATGGTTATCACACTGGCAGGAAATATACCCCATGCTGACCTGTTCTTTGTACTGAATCCTCTGAACCAACCTGAAATAAGACGATCATGATGATATAATAAGGGTGATGTTAAGGCTTATTCTACTAGATTTCTGTTTAATATCGAATGATAAAGGGAAGTAAGGAACACCCATAGAAATTAAGCAAAAAAGAAATTACTTACAGTACTCAAAGTAAGTGTAATGACTAAGATCTGAGTAGTGACTCTAGTGATTATAAAAACATTCATTTGCACCTTACATCTTACATAAGGGTTTTATTTAACATATAAATGGTGGAAAAAATTCAGTAGACTGTTTTACTATGGTGCATTTATATATAGAAGACATTTATCCATGGGATAACCAAGTAAGGACAATTTACCTCCATTTTCTTCCAAAATTTGAACTGTTTCCCCAATCTCCAGTGGTAAACCTGATCGGACATCTCCTTTCCAATTATAAACAGCTGAAATATTATATGATCTTATATGAAAAAGCTTTAAAACATTGATTTCCAAAATTAATATTATATTTTGCTTTAATAAAGATTAAAAATAAAGAAAGTTTTAAGTACATAGTTTTTTATGTTGTTATAAGAAAAGCCTAGAAATAGCCTAGATGAATATACAATATATTCCGATAGTACAGAATACTTTGATAGCAGAATTCTTTATGTAACTACTGTATTCTTTATCTATTTGTTTACATCTGATTCTGTCTATATGTTACAAGTATATTTTATTCGTGCACAACCACACACGATCAAATGCTCAGAAATAAATAAGATAAATGACGCAGCAGCGCAATTGAGTGTATTTTCGGAAGCTAAGTTAGTTTAAAATTCATATCAGGCTCATAACATTTCCTGTAATTGCAGGATGTAATTCTCACCGAGAACAAATACCGAAAATGCATAACTCACCGACTGCAAGTTTCGGAGTCTTCACAGGAATCCACATTTTTCTTTGTTTTCCTGCACATCAACTGTATTATTAATTCATTCTGATTCACAGCTTTATTATTTAACAAAAAATCATTTTTAATTCTCGCGATATACGAGCTTATACGACATGTAAACGATCACTGACTATAGAGTTTGCTTTTGTACTATCATAACATTTAAAGCACTCTGTATTTGTAAATAGAATTTTCTTTACTCTTTATCATCGACAGATAAAATATTGACATTGACATTCACTTATTGTAATTTCTATCTGCTATTGTGAAAGATTTGGTTAGATTTTAGAAGTTTAGAACTCTATCTACTAACATCTAAAACAAACTGTAAACAACACAAGTAATCTTTGAAAAATCAAATTTAACTAAGCAAAGATGTCTGACAATTTTATCCCCCTAAATCAAAGTACACCTGTACCTAATAGATGGCACGAGAGAAATCAAAATTCTCAAAACCAGTCTTTTAATCAAAGTTACAATGGTCGTCAGCGCAATGGTTATAGACGGAAAAGCCATCAGCAATGGGGAAATAACTCTTACAGAAACAACAGTTATGGGGTGAATATTTTCATTACAATTATATTAGTGCAGACACTATTTACAATTTGGTATACAACAGTTCCTCAGGTTAAAAACTGAGGTAAAACACCATTTAAAAACGAAGGTCTTGTTATCCCCTTGCACAGATATTGTCAACTACGTACAATCAAACTTAGGATCTTTAAAGCCTTAAAGATCCTAAATTTCATGGTCAATTATGGTGTTTTCCAAATGAGCAATTGATATAGGCCAATGTCAGACACAATTAACTATTTATTTTGAAACTAACGTTCTAAAATCTAACCCTAGCTGTAATTTTCTTTTACAGAATGACAGCAACAATAGCTATAGTAGAAACAAGGTTCCAATAGATGCTTACTTACACCCATCTATGTTACAAGACCCCTGGGCACATTTGAGAAAGACTGATTGATATTATGTGGTATAGATTAGATTGTTAGTTTCATTAATAATTGTGTTAAGTATATAATTTTACTCAAAGATTACATTATACATTGTATATTTGAGTATGGCTTATAATTTAGAATTGGTATTATTGAAATATCACAGACTTTATGGGGAACTAAAGCACAAACAGTTCTGTTTGCATTCTTCTTATTTGTTAACACCTGTGTCAATATTGTTGGGTGGCACCAATGGTTGGTAAATAACACAATGGCTCATTAGGTACTATAATATTAAAATACTAATACTCCTTTTCATTAAAGTGTCATGCACAGGGCAACAACTATCGCAACAGTAGCATCATCTCACTGTGTACATCTGGTGTCTCATATGCACATATTGGCAAAAGTAAGGGCTATGTGACTTCCAGCTTAGGGCCCGCACATAATGTGCTTTAACTTGTTTCATTTCCGTAGTAACTTTTTATATGAACATTTATTATTTTTCTTTTCTTTTGAGGACACTTCTTGAAGGCCGGGTGATGAGTCCACACCACCAGCTGCTATTTCACCTTCTTCATTTCCTCTTGTTATATGAACATATAATTAACTACATATTGAAGGGGATGTTTGTAATATTTATTTTATTAGGCACCTTTACTTCCTGTAAGTAACACATATAAGTTTAAAATGAATGAATTATTCTTATTTTATGACAATTTTTTTATCTATAAATAAAATACATTAAATAATATTTTTTCTATAAGTGTTGTTTATTACTTTATAGGAGAAAGATCCCACATTATTTTACAAATATCTGATATCCCTAGAACAATCAAAATAGGCCTGTCTTACAAAGATTGCTTAAGTTTCGTTGACTTCCTTTGTTTAGTTTGGTCGACTGTGTGTATCAATTCTGGCAGTATTAATACATTCAGTCCACTATCCTATCCTATCTGACCAGGGCCGGACACTGGGATATTGCAACAATATTTATACATATAGTCTTTCAGTATTGGGAGCTTAAGTTTCTGAGAAGTTATAAAAACAATCTTAGCTTGTTCAATAATTCATGACTAAGTCAGAAACATCACTATATGCCTATATGGCCTAGAAACCATTTAGTTCTTATAAATGTGTTTAGTCGGTGCTAATGCGTTAAAACTCAAGTCAAGTTGCTTTGGTGCAGACAGAAGAAGAGTTTAGATGGAGGTACAAGCATTAATTATTAGTGGTAAAGTGTCTGTCTATCTTATTATTTATTATTATTATTTGAGTATTATTCTTTTGTTATCAAATTTAAATCAAGTTTTGCGTTTGTAATTTAGGAGATATTTTTAATTGTCTTATAATATAATTTTACGCCTGACCTAGTTTAAATCGCTTTGTTTTACTAAATATTTTCCAGTGAAATTTTGTCATTGTTGCATTTTATGTTTGTCCTGGACATTTCGTACATGTTTATTGTTGTTTGGGCTTGCCATATGGGCGAAATTTTGCTTTATTTTATTTGCATTTTCTTTTGTGCGCAGGGAGACTATGTCGAAACAATCGCAGCCAGTATGTCAAACAAGCAGTATTGTTGAAGACAAGCTAGAAGTTGGAAATATTGGTTTAATAATGGAACAGGAGAAGACACAAGGTCAGGGTTATTTTAATGGCTACATATCTTTGTCCCGAATTGGCTGCGCTAGAAGACACGATCTCTTGGACGTCCCGAAAGGTCGCCGATACCGCGAATTTTAACTTGAACGCTCTCCTCAAGTTAAGACCCAAATGTTACCTTTACGCAGTCTGCCTTTGAAATGATGTACTAATGTAATTTGTACATGATCTATTTTTGAGTGTTATTTTATAACTATGTGTACTTCTGTCCAATTTTTGTAATTGGCTATGGCCGTTTTAATTGCTTACAATAAATAAAATAAATGCCATGCAATATCTATGACGCTGTCGACCTATTTTTCCATTCAACATCACGTTTAACACTTCACGGCTTTTCCATCTATGAATTGTGACCACGATAAACGACGAGACTTACACCTGGTAGGTCAAAATGTAACAGAATTCCAGCAAAATTATTAATTAAAATTGTTATCGGGACAACAGAATATAAGCTTTCCTCAACTACTTCAGAAAAATCTTTCTTAAAAGTACTCTAATCATACGTCTTAACATAGTCAAAACAAGTATATTTAAAACCAAAACGTCACGTGCTGTCTGTAGTTTATGCGAGTAGTACACATTTAAATAAAACATTTTAACGGTTTAAAACACGATATATTTTAATTAAACTTGTTTGATTATTATTTTTAAGTAAGGACCGACGTTTCGGATGCTTTGCAGCAGTCGTGGTCGGGGCTGTTAGTGTTTTATTTAAACAAGACGTTACGGTTTAAAATCCGTTTCATTACGAATTTTAACGAATAAATTTTTTTTTTAACACCGCTTCCCGCGGCCTCCTTCGCGGGGGCCTCCGGGTCCCCCCCCCCCCTCCTATCCATTAAAAAAAAAACCCCAACCACCCCCCCCCCCCCCCCTTTTCTCTTTTTCGCGGCCCCCCCCCCCCCCCCCCCCCTTCAACTTACTTTTTCCTTTCCTTTCCCCCTCCACAAACATTTCCCTCCCTTTTTTTTGGAAAGAGGGAGACACCCCCAAAAAAGGGGGCGTTAAAATTTTTTTTTTTTTTTTTAAACGACAGGCGCCTCTTTTTTTTTTTTTTTTAAAAATTTTTTTTTTTTTTCTCTCGTCTCTTTTTTTTTAAAAAAACCCCCCCCCCCCCCCCCCCCCCCCTCCCCCCCCCCCCCTTTTTCTTTTTTTTTCCCCCCAAAATCCTTTTTTTTTTTTTTTTTTTTTTTTTTTTTTTTTTTTTTTTTTTTTTTTTTCTTTTTTTTTTTCTTTTTTTTTTTTTTTTTTTTTTTTTTTTTTTGTTTCCGGTGTTTTTTGGGGTGTTTTTGGCCCTTTTTTTTCCCCTTTTTTTTTTGTTTTTTTGTGTTTGTTTTTTGGTTTTTTTGTGTGTGGTGGTGGGCCGCTTTTTTGTTTTTTTTTTTTTTGTTTTTGTGGGTGTTTTTTGGGTGGTTTTTGGGTTTTTTTTGGCTTTTTTTTGCCCCCCCCTCCCCCTTTTTTTTTTTTTTTTTTTTGGGTGGTTTGTTGTTTTTTTTTTTTTTTTTTTTTTTTTTTTTTTTTTTTTTTTTTTTTTTTTTTTTTTTTTTTTTTTTTTTTTTTTTTTTTTTTTTTTTTTTTTTTTTTTTTTTTTTTTTTTTTTTTTTTTTTTTTTTTTTTTTTTTTTTTTTTTTTTTTTTTTTTTTTTTTTTTTTTTTTTTTTTTTTTTTTTTTTTTTTTTTTTTTTTTTTTTTTTTTTTTTTTTTTTTTTTTTTTTTTTTTTTTTTTCCCTTTAAATTAACATTTTTTTTTTTTTTTTTTTTTTTTTTTTTTTTTTTTTTTTTTTTTTTTTTTTTTTTTTTTTTTTTTTTTGGGTGGGTGCGGCCCTCCCCCGCCCCCCGCCCCCCCCCCCCCCCCCCCCCCCCGGGCGGGGGTTTTGTTGTTTGCTTTTTTCTTCCCCCCCCCCCCCCCCCCCCCCCCCCCCCCCCCCCCCCCCCCCCCCCCCCCCCCCTCCCTTTTTTTTTTTTTTTTTTTTTTTTTTTTTTTTTTTTTTTTTTTTTTTTTTTTTTTTTTTTTTTTTTTTTTTTTTTTTTTTTTTTTTTTTTTTTTTTTTTTTTTTTTTTTTTTTTTTTTTTTTTTTTTTTTTTTTTTTTTTTTTTTTTTTTTTTTTTTTTTTTTTTTTTTTTTTTTTTTTTTTTTTTTTTTTTTTTTTTTTTTTTTTTTTTTTTTTTTTTTTTTTTTTTTTTTTTTTTTTTTTTTTTTTTTTTTTTTTTTTTTTTTTTTTTTTTTTTTTTTTTTTTTTTTTTTTTTTTTTTTTTTTTTTTTTTTTTTTTTTTTTTTTTTTTTTTTTTTTTTTTTTTTTTTTTTTTTTTTTTTTTTTTTTTTACACGAATTAAAAAAGAGTACCTTTTTTTTTTATTAGTACATAACTTTTAATGAATAAAAACACGTACTTTAATATCAAACAAGTATAAACAGAAATGTTAAAGAATTATTAGTTTAGCGAATTTTCGGCGTTATTAAAAAACCAATCACTATGTCAATCAAGATACGAAATCACATTTGAATTGGTCAATTATAAGGGGTGGTCATTGAAATAAAGGGTGGTAATATCGTTGTATGAACTGCATCGCAATTGATGTCCTTAAAATATACAAATAAGGTTGCTTTTTGTTTCAACTGTTTACTTTAGGATAGTCATAATAATGAAACTGTATGAACCTTTAGTGTGTATGACTGCATTTATGTCTCTGTAGGGTTTCAATAAAACACATTAACGGTTTAAAACGGGATATATATTAGTTAAACTTATTTGAAAATTTATTTTAACTTCGGCCCGACGTTTCGGATGCTTTGCAGCGGCCGTGGTCACGAGGAGACTGAAAAAATAAAATTTCAAATAAGTTTATGTGTGTTATACGTATAATATATAACGTATACGTATTTAATTCTCTGTAGGGTTTTTGTTATATTAAAATCGCAAATAATAAACGTATTTTAAGCTTGTAACGATTTTACTAGGCCTTTAAACTAATCAATTTATATAATTACCCAAGTTTATTCTAGAGAAACATTTAGAAGTAAATTTTACTAATTACTTTAATTTTAAACCGTCACACATTGTTATGTCTAAATTGTAAATTTAAATTGACTAATCTCTAATATATAAAATTATCCCGTCACAATGTTTGTATGTGTACCCTCGAAAACGGTTGAACCGATTTTAATTAAAATTTTGTATATTATGAATATACTGAAAACATGACGTAACTTAATGTTCCACCTTGTAATAAAATTGACTTTCATTGTATTTAAGTTATGTAACTAAATGTTACTATTACTTACGGTTCTTTCTTATCTATACGTTTATACCACTATTTTTAAATCAAAATAAGGTTCTTTTGAAATTATTTAATATAGAATATGTCTTATTTAATTTCAACCTTTTAAATCTTATCACAATCCGAATTTTGATATTAATGTCCCATCATTAACGTGTCGTCCGTTTCTCACAAGTTAAGGAGCGAAATAAAAACAATTCAGAAAATGACCCTAATCAATTCTTTAGGAGTCCACGCTATTTCGAAATTAGGGACTTGCGGTGAATTTGGCGGATGATATTTGTATCATAGTTAGCCTTGGATAAGACTAAGATAGCTATTCTAAGAAAATTACAGCAATTTCCTAAATATTCTGCTATCATTTTAATATCATAATAATATAATTGATAGGTAATAATACTTTAAATGTTACGGTATTTTAATTGTTAAAAAGATGCCTAATATTCAATTTGAAACTATTTTTTTAATTTTAAAATGCGTAATTGTCGCTTTTCTCAACTATAATAATAAATACACTTTATACTTTTTTTATACCTCATTTTTTAGATTAAAAATTATATATAATCTTTGTTGTTATAATTACACGGGAAAATTGAATTAACACAATATATTGGTAATGGCGATAATTTGCATTTGTAAGATATAAAAGTGTGCCCGAATACACCACAAATACGTTTATAGCATTTGTCCTCGAATAAGAAAAAAAACAAACGACCGATTCGAATTGAAAAATCCGAACTACCGCAGGTTTATAACGGCGGGAAATTCATCAAAATCGAAAACAAATATGGAAATCGTAGTCCGGTGCTCGTGCCGAAAGATCATTGAAATTCAATTAATTTCCACGAAGCGAGTGGACGCTCGAATGAAAGTTCGTTTCAGAGCTTAACCAACCCACATGCGGTTTTGTTTCCGCTTTGTGCGGTCTGGCGAAGAAAAACCCACCGTCCCGCTGCGACATGTTTGACTTTTGACTTTTATTTTAATCCGTGGAGTTACTTGGTGCGGTCTCCTGATTCTACGCTTCACGATGACGGATTATATGAACCCTTGCTGCGACTTCGTAAGTACTGTGCTGTGCTATTTTTTAAAATAATTTTATTTTCTAAATAAACATTTGTCAATGAATTGGAATGAAGACGATTTGAGTTGTAGAACAGCTTGGCGTTATTATATCTGTGGTTACGTAAAAAGGTTGAGGACGATTAATAGGTCAGTAAATAGACACTTGCATCGATATTTCACGGAAGTGACTCGCACCAAATAATGCCATCGATCGCCAAAAAACTAACCCACATACGCACTGCCAGCGTAGTCGGAATTATTAATCGTGAGCAGTAAAACCTAGGGGGTTAGTGGGTGGCACCGTTTTAACTGCTCAGCGCATAAAGCGCGCCGTGAAGCGCTTTTAAAAAATACGGATATGCTGGAAACAGCGTTTTACATGAGATCAGATAATGCTAAATTGTCATTTGACATGATTTTCAAGTTATTATGTACCCACATAGTTCATCAAATACTCAAGAGTCTATTGGTAAACAATTGTTCAATAAATATTAAAAGGTTTTGAAACATATCATTTGTAACAATAAACGTTTTAAGAAATTTTCGAAAATTATACTTGATTACTGCAATCTAAGTGTATCTACTACTTATCATAGGAACTAATAATAGTAAAAACTACTTTATTATTTTTCACATTATATTTTAATAACAGATATTGTGGTATATTTGTATAGCTAGTACTTTTATCGCTAGCAGACGTATTTAACATTTCAAACAACACCCTCGCTTTCAACTTTAAAAGGACTCGAAAAACGTTCCATATGAGAAAACGGCGCCAATTCCTCTTTAAAATAAAGCTGTGTATGCGCTACATCAAAGACAGCGTACAGCGCTATGGGGGTTGCGATCTTGGGCGGGGCGCAGGGCGCATGCGCGGGCGGGCAGCGGGCACTCCGCGAGGAAGGTTCGCGGGCTCCGGCCGCGTCGACGCGACCGCGATGCGCGAAGTGCCGGCCTCGCGGCCGCTCCCGCAAGCGCCGCGCTAAACGCACCGATGCAGTGGCGCAAGTTGACCAGGTTGAAATCTTCGCCGGGCGGACACTCGCGCGCTCGGAGGATGCTCTGCTGCGGCCGCAGGAAGGTACGATACGATCGATAGCGCGCGCCGAAACCTTCGCCCCCCGGCCCGGAGGCGGCCGACGCCGTTCGTCGACCCCACTAAGGCCTCTCGTAGCCTATAACTACTGGACATAATACACCATTGTCTTAGACAGATGTGTGACTATTATATATCTCTTTCCCAAGCATATTATATTTTCCCTTTTCTTAAAGATTTCTTTCATATATAGCGACCACATACATATTATAAGTCCTCCTGTAGAATAAAATATAAAAATAGGTAACTTAATTCTTCTAAATCTTCAAAAATACACATATGTTTCATATAGCCTCCACACGCCTATAAAAATACTAGATTTCCCTCGCACTGAGTGTAGTACTCAGTGTATTTTCTTCTTATATCATACATACTACATCATAGGAAATTCCTATAATACAAGACTGTGTCCGGATTACCTCTGTATTACATACATTTTGTATATAATTATATTTATCTATGCAGTAGCAATGCATAGTTCAATATATTTTAATCAAATTTGTTAATGTCAATGTAGGTAGTTGATATGGTAACGTCAATGTAGAAGAATGTGACTATCACGCCATCTTGTCGATGTTATAACATGCGCTAAGGAGGTCTGCAATAAGTATTACAAATTCATTTTACCTCTTTCTCGAAATCGTGTATATAAGACAGCAAATTCTATAAAAATACTTTGCCGCGAACTACAATACGATTTGAAACACTCTAACGGTTTATGGGTCACGACTAAAAACTGGGTCATCAATCGAGCCTATTTATAACCTCTTATAACGTTTAAGTTATAATTCGAAATTTGAATTGTGATTTATTTAATCTCTACGTAGCTTTCGCGTAGATTTGTAGCGGGTCGTAGCAGTAGCGTAGAGCGTTCGTACTATAAATAGCCGGTACGACTTTTAGAATACAGAATCATTGAGTAGCTATGCACTTGGTACATACTGCCTACTACTCAACGAGTGTAGATGCCTTGTTTTTGACTATTTAAAAGATGTAATAATATATTAGCGTATATTTATTGCAAATAAATACTTTTGATCGCCAGAAAATTCATATAACCTTGTAAACTTATTGTACTAGGTCTTTGTATATATATAAAGTTATAAGTTTAACAAAGCATTTATAAAAACCGGGTTATTTTCATGACCTTTCATTTATCATACTTTTGCTATTGAATGCTCACTGAATGATAATTCGAGTATATTGTCAAGTAGTCGCCTACGCCATGTGTCATTCAACACTCGTACATAATGACGTCATATAATTCTTATACTGCCTATATTCATTCCGTTATTTAATTCGTCTACTATAATCGTTTGATGTATAGTAATGCACAGTTACGTACGTTTTAATTACACTCAGAATACCTTATGAAGACGCCGTTCTTTTTACATCGCCATGTATAGAAATAGTGATGTACACATTTTATGACTTTAAAGACTCTTATATTCTTCTCATGATATAGTACAGCCTTATATGAATTTAAAATGTCACCCGTCTCGTAAAATATTTTATGATTTAGTTAAATATAGTTATTATTTATTATTAATTTTCGATTTTTTATCATACTTTATTATTAACAAGCTCTTTATGGTATACATGTTTTTATTATTTTTATATTTGCTACAGAATACCATAATTTATCTGCTTAGTGTAAAATCTTTTCCGCAATAATTGCTTCATTTTTCGGGTGGGGTCGCACGCTGAATATGCAATCTCTTGCAGATGATGTACACCCAATCATGTATTATTTAGTTATTAGAAAATTAAATAAGTACTTAATGAAGATACCAACATAAGTAAGATCTAAAAATTCAATTGCGGTTCATTCGTATATTTGTACCCAGGAAATCGATCAAATCAAAGGTTAAAAAAAATGTTTCTAAAGGGCTATCGTATAAAATGTACATAGAACGTAGTATTCATTCGTATATTGATGTTACTTATTTCACAGTGGTATAGAGTAAGTAGTACATTCATCTCATTTATAATAAGACTAATTATTATAATAAATTAAGAAAAATTATGAAATGAAAATAAAACCAAATTCACCAAGCAAATCTACTAATCAATTTATAGTTTTACTGAAACATTTTAATAAGTGGTAGGAATATCGAAATTTCGCCCGGGTCTTAACCACTTTTCAGTCTGTGGATTTCCAAATATCTAAAGCCAAAATAAGTTCGCTGTCTACCTATTTTGTGTCGCTGTTATATGGCCGGGGTGTTTTACCTACCATCAAGTGAAACACGTGCTTGTCTATTTTTCTTCTATCATAAAAAAGTAGGTACATTCCGTTTAAAAGACTATTCCAGTTTTATGAATCGTATTATATTCAATAGCAAATCGAATTTTTTACTCTCTAAAATGTATGAAGCACTGTCTGTAGTTTACGCGAGTAGTACACATTTAAATAAAACACTTTAACGGTTTAAACCGCGATATATTATAGTTCAACTCGTTTGAGAATTATTTTTAACTACGGCCCGACGTTTCGCATGCATTGCAGTAGCCGTGGTCACGGGGAGACTAGAGAAACAAGGAGAGAAATAATTTTCAAACAAGTTTAACTAAAATATATCGCGAAGTGTTTTATTTTAACAAGCATTTAAAAATCCATCAATTTGCAGATACAGGATATAAAAAGTTCAGCAAGAAGGTTAAGGTTGAGAGACACATAAGTACCCTTCACATTAATATCAGTTATGTTCGTTTGGGCAGTGACAAAGGTTCCGCCCAGACTGCGTTTAATAGCCCCAGATATATGGGCACAACAGCTTGAACAGCTTTATAGCTTATAGTGCTCGCAGAACATTCTTTTAATAAGCTACGTAAGGTTTATTTCTTTGTGCGATGAACGCGTTTTAGTAAAAGGCTAACGTATGTTAAAGTGATTAAATAAAACTTTTATGTTGTTATAAATATTTTATGTTTGTTATTATATCGTTTATCTATAAATGTTTTGAAATAGTAATAATAACAAAAATAAAACACTTTATTGCACAAAGTAATAAAATACAAATATAGTGATACTAAATTAATTATTTACATAAAGTGTTATATCCTAATTATAAGATTTAATTGTATTAAATGGCAGATTCTAAATTGTTAATATTGTAGTAATGATTGATAATTTTAAAAAAGGAATTAAAAATTGAAGTGAATATTATCTGTAGTTTACGCGAGTGGTACCAACACATTAAATAAAACAATTCCAACGGTGCAAAACTAGAAAGTTAAAACGGTTTTTTCTTATTGTAAGAATCTCAGGAATGCATATTTTTTATAGCCATAACACATATATAATATTCACAACATTTGCGGCAGTTGTTTTCATCCTTTCATCATTGTCGCAAAACATGAAACGAAAAATATACAAAAGTACTTAACCGCCCATTATATGGTGGCATTGAGTAGTCCCTTTGATGTTGTCGTTAGGCGACATGCAACGTGGAAAATCGCACTGTTTTCACAAAAAGTTGTGTTTCAGACATTCTCTCATAGAAAAAAGTACGAGTAACCGATATATGTATTGAATCTATTTTTTTTGTGTTTTTTGTCTAATTTAACGTGTTACCTAACTAAATCTATACTAATATTATAAATGCGAAAGTAACTGTGTCTGTTTGTCTGTCTGTCCGGCTTTAACTCTGAAACTACTGAACTCATTTGAATGAGAAAAAATGAAATTTGGTATATAGATATTTTAGAGCCTGAGAAAAGACATAGGCTAAAAGTTTGTATGGAAATTCATGGTTTTTGAAGTTAGAATAATGTAACTTTCTTCTTTGGCTTTTTGAGAATAGAAGTGGGAGTGGAAGTGATGTAAGGTGAGACTGTTGCGGCAAAGTAGCACTTACAACATAGAATGGCTGCCTTAAATGCACCCTTATATAAATTAATAAACAGCCTAAATAATTAAAAATTCTACCTCAAGTCACTATACCACGCGGACGAAGTCGCAGGCACAGCTAGTACACTATAAATAATTTAATTTTAATAAAAGCTTAAAGCAACAACACATAACATAAGATTATGTGTTTAAATTAAAGAAATGACAGAATTGTATAAAAAGAATAAATAAGAGATATAAAATGTATATAACAATATGGAAGTAAACTTCAAGTAAGTTCAGTAAATCGTATCATCTATTTTTAAAACATGACTTGATATAAGACAAGCTAATAGTTATAACGCATTATATGGCCTATCATTAATTAATTTAAAAGATGTATACTATTTTTAGTTTGTTACTTTTTTATTTACATAGTCTATGTCTAGTTCTATATATAGGTCTTCTTTAAGTTTATAACTTTCGATATTAATACTTGTTACAAAAAGTACCTACTATATACTATTACAGATATATATAATTAATTAAGAATAGAAATATACTAGAAAATCATAATATAATAAATGCTTATACAATATTTTTGTCTGCGTATATCAATTGTCTATCAATATAGCTGTATTATATTTTCTTCCTGTCACGCGAGTGCCGTTTATAACTCCTAAGAAAGTGACAAAACATGCTTATCGCCCTAACTGTTTAAAAAGAGTCAAATTAGTATTGATATCGTTAAAAAACGCAACGAGCTCCATCGCTCCACTTAGCAGCTTTCTAATGGAAATTTATGGCCTAGTTTGCGTGTGATTTTAATTTCTTACGCCTTAAGTGCCAATTTTCCTGTCACAAGTTGCGCCCTACGAGCGTTAAGCATTCGGAGTGGCGGGTTTTTGCTGACTCTGTGAAACCGGTACTTAGGCTCTCTTTCCAGGCAGCTTTGTAGGACTCGATGTATGTAATGGTGATGAGGTGTATCCAACTTTAAAGCGCGAGGTTCCAGGTTCAAATCTAGGAGAATATCATTATAGAAAGGTAAACAAGCTAAAATCATTATTAAAAACATACTAATGCCCACACTAGTATTAAACAAGTAAACGGGCTAAAAAAATCTATGGCTAATCATCAAGCGGTCGTGTGTTCGTTTCCCACCAGTTCCAACATGTGTCTAATTTTTCGATTTATATTTTTTCCGAAACATGTTGCACTTCGTCTGGAAATCTGGATATTAATTGGGTGGTAGGAATATCGCAA